GTCGTTCTTCATCTCTCGTGTGGTGGAGACGCCGGGGGACGTTCATGCTGGGCCACACGATGGAGGCGTGCACGCGGGGTATCTGGCTGTCGACCACGGCTCTCGAGTGCGACGAGTTCGTGCTGTTGGTGTTGGACACTGAGGGCATCGGTGCCGTGGAGGGAGAGGGGCCCGAGTCCTTCACCACCAAACTCCTGGTTGCAACCATCCTCCTCAGCTCCTTCCTCATCTACAACTCCCAGAATGTCCCGGGACTGGCCGACTTGCAGAACATGAGGTGAGACTATTGTTTGGAGTCTAGCTTGCAAATAGAAACCAAAAATAAAGTAATGATCCCATTGTCTTCCGCTTCTGTTCACATGGGTATTATTTCCCGTGCAGCTCATTTGCCCACCTTTCTACTGCCATAACGGTCAATGACCATGGACGAGCAAGTGACCCAGCAGAGCTCCGAAAGTATTTTCCGCACTTCATGTGGTTACTTCGTGATGTCATCCGCGAAGAGGAAGACCCTCCACTGATTGAGTATCTGAATGCAGAAGTCCTCAAGCCAACTGGGCAGAAGGACTACGACAGTATTGTCACTGCGATTCGTACCCTCTTCCCTCCACCTCTGCTGTGCGTCAGCCTCCCAACACCAAACCTGGAGCTTGGAAATACTCTGCAAGAGGAAAAGAATATCGGTGAGGAGTTCAAAAGAGGAATCTGAGAAACTCATCAACGGCGAGGGAGGGATAAAGGCCAGTGTTAGACCCAAGGTGGGGTTCGGGGAGGGTATCAGAGTCACAGGAGAGGTTCTGGCGGAGCTGGCAGAGACGTACATCAATGCACTCAACGAGAAGGGGTCGGTGCCGAGTCTGGAGGGTGCCTGGGGTGCGGTTATCGAGCTGAAGCTAGCAGAAGAGGTGGAGAAATCCGTGGGCTTGTACGTGGAGGAAATGACGGCAAAAGTCGAAGGAAGCCTTCCAATGGAGCATTCGATTCCTGAAGAAGACAGCGACAAGCCCACCCTCATAGGATGTCACTGGGTGGTCTTTGATGCAAAGAGAGATAAACTCAGTGAAAAGATGCGGCAGATAATCCCCCAGCCTGGACCAGATGATCCACCAGTGGAACAAGGCGACCTCTACAAATCAATGATGAAGAGGTTCAAGGATGCCATTGTGGAAGAGGGGGAAGGAGGGATGGATACAATGGAGGGGGTCAAGTCAGGGAAACTGCTTCAGTTTACAACAGACAACTACAGAGAATCCGACAAGCAGTGTGAAGAATTGTGGGACAAACTTCTTAAAGAACATGAAGTCATGACAAAATCAGCAAAGGCTCTCAACAAGTACAACGCGGAAGTGGCTGTTGAGCTCTGTAGTAGCATAGAGAGACTCAAAGGAGACTACGGAGATGGTGCAAAAGGCCCAGCCAGAGACAAGGTCTATGCACGCAGAAACGAACACTTGGAACAAATCAAGGAGTCCATGCAAGCCATTCCAGGCCCTCCGAAAAAATTGAAAGTTGTCGGAAAAGCAACGGACAGGATCAAACTCCAGTGGAAAGAGCCCGCCATCCACCCACAAGCAGCCAAGAAGTACATCGTCAAGTACAGATTGGAAAACAAAAAGTGGGAGGAAGTCGAAACCAAGTCTGAGCGTTGGTGCATCGTCAAGAACCTAAAAACAAACACGGGGTACGAGTTTGAAGTGGCGTCATGGAATGACGAGGCGCACAAGGCAAGGCAGGAGATCCAAAGTCTGGTGAAGGAAGGCGGGCTCAAGTCTGGGACTCGACTAGGGAGACTAGCTCGCATTGCCCTATCAGCAATCGGGTTCGTCAACGGCACAATGATGGCTCCAGTCCTATCCACCGGTGGAATGGCAGCTAAAGCTAAAGAATCAGAGAGCACGGCCAAGGCTCTCGGGTTGCTCGCAACCATCCCGTTCCTAGCCACGCTGGGTGCACCCATAGTGGGTGGGAGGGTTGCCTACCACGTGGTGAAGGAAACGGGGACTGGGGCGACTTGGAGGAACGATACGTTGAGGATAGCGACGCAAGCAGTGCCAATAGCACCACAGAACAAGTTACTGTGTAGTGACCAAAACTGAGTTAGGGCGTGAATTATTTTTGAGTGTGCAGTAAATATACACATGATGGAAAAACAAAACCCAACCATCCTTAGACTAGAGTGAGCAAAGATGTGAAATGCACAAAAAGAGTCTACTTTTTCCGCGTCTCTCTGACAGGCAGTACATATCTCTGGGGTACCTCCAGTGGAGGGGAGTAACCATCTGTGTAGGTAGTGTCCTCAAACAACACCGAGTATTCATTGGAGATCTGTATAGATAGTACAACGGAGCTTACTACACAATGCCTGGGAAAGGGTGTATGCACAATGTTGGGATGCTAGGCTTACATCAACTGGTTGCTGGTGGATGACTGCTCTGTAGAAACAAGTAGTCTGAGGATATAGTGCCAGCACCAGCTACATAAATTTATATATACAATCGGGGAAGGGTTAAGTATACGTTATATGCATGTACTGCAGACATGAACCTGTTTAGGTTTGAAGAGAGCCGGAGGGTGGACCTTGGGGTCCACCTTATACCGAGGCAGAGGAATGATCCTCCTCTTACTCACATGATACCTCCTACAGAGAGACAAATACACAATACAACGATGTGGGTATGTCCCTAGATGTGGGTTTTAATTCAACCTCTTCTCGTTGTGCCCCTCCTCGTCAATATCGTCAACGACGTAGCGGTGATTGTGGGAGTTGTAAGAGACGACCTCGGCCAGGATCCACTGCTCCTCTCCGTCCTCTGTACGAACCCTCGCCGCCACCTGCAGCATCACATGTACAGCAACACACCCAGCCTCTGGGGAGAACATGTACAACTACACCGTACAGTAAACATTTTTATCTGGACTTCATACAGGAAACTCCCTCTACTGGGCAGGCTCTAGCACGTGTATGTGTATCCCAACCAAAGCACACTCTCTGTAGTAGTATTCCATACAGAGGGTACTGGTAGTAGTGAGCACTTTAAGTTTCTAAGCGCTGTGCTGCAAATGTTCATCACCTTCAGTTGTTCCTATACAGCAGTTTGCCATGCCCCTGTGTGTCAGTGTCGGGGACACTGTTCTAGTCTTTGCAATACATTTCTGGGTTGATGGCGTTTCTGACTTACAGGTGCCCTGTGGCCCCATAGTGCCAGGCTTTACCATTATAAACATGTGGGTGGTCTTGTGTGTTTGTGAGATATTGGTATATTACATGAGTGCACGGAAAGACAGACTAAATCTTTCGTACTTTTAGTGAGTACACGAACGGAAGGACAGGCTATCAAACCATCCTGAAAACCTTGACTATAGCTGGAGAGTGCAGTGCAAGCCACCCTCAACAGTTACTGTAAAAATGGGATGACTTCGATTACACTTATATTAAGGTGGCCTAAATCTTTCGTACTTTTATTGAGTGCACGAACGGAAGGACAGGCTATCAAACTACCCTGAAAACCTTGACTATAGCTGGAGAGTGCAGTGCAAGCCAGCCTCAATAGTTACTGTTAAAAATGGAATGACCTCGATTTTGTATGTATGTATGTATATTAGGTGGCCTAAATCTTTCGTACTTTTAGTGAGTACACGAACGGAAGGACAGGCTAACAAACCATCCTGAAAACCTTGACTATAGCTGGAGAGTGCAGTGCAAGCCACCCTCAATAGAATGGGATGACCTAGATTATGTGTATGTACTATGTATATTATGCTGGTAAGGTAGCCTAAATCCTTTGTACTTTTAGTGAGTACACGAACGGAAGGACAGGCTATCAAACCATCCTGAAAACCTTGACTATAGCTGGAGAGTGCAGTGCAAGCCACCCTCAACAGTTACTGTAAAAATGGGATGACCTCCATTTCACTTATATTAAGGTGGCCTAAATCTTTCGTACTTTTATTGAGTGCACGAACAGAAGGACAGACTATCAAACCATCCTGAAAACCTTGACTATAGCTGGAGAGTGCAGTGCAAGCCAGCCTCAATAGTTACTGTTAAAAATGGAATGACCTCGATTTTGTAAGGTGGCCTAAATCTTTCGTACTTTTAGTGAGTACACGAACGGAAGGATAGGCTATCAAACCATCCTGAAAACCTTGACTATAGCTGGAGAGTGCAGTGCAAGCCATCCTCAACAGTTACTGTTAAATATGGGATGACCTCGATTTTGTATGTATGTATGTATATTAAGGTGGCCTAAATCTTTCGTACTTTTAGTGAGTACACGAACGGAAGGACAGACTATAAAACCATCCTGAAAACCTTGACTATAGCAGGAGAGTGCAGTGCAAGCCACCCTCAACAGTTACTGTTAAAATGGGATGACCTAGATTATGTATGCTAATTATGCTGGTAAGGTGGCCAAAATTTACTTTTAGATTATACCTGGTCCTCTGGTTTACACTTGTGTTTCTCATCAGCTGGTATGGCACCAGTAAGAGGTGGAATACTACATGACAAAAACAGAGAGAAATTAGCTAATGCAAGACACGATCCTTTGTGTAGGTGTACATATAGAACAGTGGTTCGAGGTTTGCTTTGTGATGTGTTCCAGTAGCTCAGTTGGTAGAGCGCTCGCCTAGAAAGCAGTGTGTTGTGGATTCAATCCCACCTAGGGCAGATCTTATTTTTCCTTGCAGTGCAGTTGACTTGTTTGCTTTGCCTTCACCTTGCTACCTCGTCACATACATACATACCTCTCTCCTTGCTTTCCCCGCCAGACATCTTGCTCCTGTGCATACTGCTGTAACACTGTCATCAACATTCCTCTCCGCATTCCCGATTTTCTGTGCGTTACATCATACACACGTGGATACTATCATACAGCACAATTAATAGCTCTCCACTGACCTGGCCTGAATATCCTCAAAGTTGAGAGGTTGTGTAGCTGGCCGAGCTGAACGGAAGACAACAAACATTACGCCTGCTGCACACAGACAGGGTAGTATGGGGTTTACATTGCTTCTCTCCTATCTCTTGTCTGATCTCAGCCACCTTGTCCAGGGCTTGCTCCACTTGCCTAAGGTGTATATATATCATGCAGTTGTAAATATTACTCTGGGAGTGAAAGTCACGGAAAAGCATACGCCAGCTCTCTCTTGGCATCCTGCAGTGCAGTCTGGTAGAGTCCTTGCAGCTTCTGCTTGAAGTACGGGGATACTGGGAAGGATGCAACACATTCAATCTCCAAAAAAAACCCAAACATACTTCTCTGCTCGTTCTTCATTCGGTCGTGTGTCTTTGCGGTGTTGCTCAGTGTGTTTTCGCTCGCCTCCCTCTCGCTCTACACACGACGCACGGGCCGTAAACAAACCACAAGCTTGAGGGTATTTCTAAATAATGCCCACCTGAGTCTCTCTAACGAGAGTGGACAGCTCGTTCAACATGGTGGCGATGGTGGAGGACACCTTCTGCTTCTGGTGGTGGGATGATCCGCCAGCTGCCGCCGCCGTTGAGGCGACGCCTGAAGAAGAAGCGTGTTTCCCACTTCGAGGAGTTTTCCCCATGACCGCTAAAGGCACGCTGTGCGCATGCGCGGAAGAGGGGAAATCCCAGGTTTTTTCCGCGCTATCATCATCGCTTTTGTGTGTGTGTGCGCGCTAGTGTGCAGACACCGGGGTGCAGACAACAGAGAGAACCCAGAGGGACATGGACGAGATTTTGTCGTTCGGTGGACCAGGGAAGTTGAAACTGGCAGATGCCCTGAAAAAGGCGAAGTCAAAGAAGAAGAAAGGCGTGAAACCAAAGAGTAGCAAGTGGTCTTCTAGCGGACTGTCAGACTCAGACGATGAAGGCTCATCAGGCAAAAATACGCATACATTCAGCTCTGGGTAGTTGTTTGTGAGTTTGTGAAGGTCTAGGATAGTCATGGAGTCCACTTTACCTACAACACTGGTTTGAAAGCTTCATTTTTGTTGTTGTGGGTCATGGAATACACGCGTCAATTACGAGGTAGCAAGGCAAAGGCAAAGCAAACAAGTCAACTACACATACAGGTCATCATAATAATACTGGAGCTATATTATGTACCACCCACTCCTCAGACTATGGAGGGTCCAGGTGTCGACGAAAGAGACGGAACTCAGAGAAAATGAGTGCAGCCGATAGGTTCAGACAGAAGGCAGCAGTTCTGGAGCAGTGTGTGCAGGACACTCCTCCAGCTAAACAACAGGAAGAGGGGTATGGACAGTCAACCTAATCTACCTGTAAACACATTAGCTACTGAGAAATGTCCCCATTATGCTATTTTCTTAGCTCATCGTTTACTCCTTGTTCTTAGCTCATTGTTTTACCCACTGCAGGTGTGACAGCGGTGAGGAGAAGGAGGTGAAAGTGGTTTCTCCTCCATCTCCCCTCCCCTCCCCACCTCCCCTGGTTCTCTACACCGATGCACAGTCCAAACAGTCGAAGACCCTCTTGTGAGTGGACCACCCATTCCCTCTCCCATTTTGATACACATGTATATACCAACACAAAAACCATTGTTGTGAGTGACCCTCCATGGCGCTGACTCAATCACAGAGCATGGAAGTGTAGCAGAAGTTACGTATATACAAACACACACGAAAATCTTTGCAGATTGAAGCTCTAAATATGCTTCAATATGTATATACCTGATAATCTGCACTAGATATGCAGCTACTTGTAGAAGCACTTTTACAATGCCCGATGTTATGTGAGTCAGACTGGGTGTGTACTACTTTCCCTACGAGACGTTGTATGGCACTGTCAGTGTGTTTACAAAGCAATGATGAATCATGTAGGACTATACTGATATACTGAGTTGTGTGACCTGTAGGAAGGCGGACCAGCTCCTGATGGAGTTGACTCAGCCTCAGCCACTGTCAGAGTTACTGGTGGAGCAGAACTCAGGACTGGAGGACAGCCTGGTGGCCACGCCCTCCTCCCTCCCTCTCACACTCAGGGTCCGCTGCCGGGGAAAGATCCACCGCTTTGCCGTCAATAAGGTACCCAATGAGGGGTGGGTGTTGGGAAGCAAGACTTTGGACACTGAAACAGGAATCCTTGCATGGTTTGAAGAAAGAAAGGGCATTAACCTGTGACATTCTGATAACTCGCAAACTTTTGTATTCCCCCATAACTCCATGCACACGCAGACACTACAAGGATTCCTGTTTGTAGTTGACTTGTTTTGTATTTGCCTTGCTACACGTTCATGTACTACACTCATATCCTGGACACAGGACGATCCACTGGTGTTACTGTGTGCTGAGCTGGGGAAGGAGCTGGGGGTCAAAGGAGAGCAGATCCTCCTCTCCCACCGCACAGTCACTCTCAGTACCACTGCCTCTCCTGCTTCTCTGGGTCTCTCTACTGTTGACATCATAGGTATGTATATTCCTAGCTAACCCTCTCTGGGTCTCTCTACTGTTGATATCATAGGTATATTCCTAGCTAACCCTCTCTGGTCTCTCTACTGTTGATATCATTGGTATATTCCTAGCGAACCCTCTCTGGTCTCTCTACTGTTGATATCATTGGTATATTCCTAGCTAACCCTCTCTGGGTCTCTCTACTGTTGATATCATAGGTATATTCCTAGCTAACCCTCTCTGGGTCTCTCTACTGTTGATATCATGCATAGGTCTGTCCCTCTGCAGAGTGTGCCTACTCTGTCATCTGAATGGAGTTTTTATCCCACCAGTAGGCACTGTCAAAGTTAACCATAATACGTTGTAATGGAGTTGAAATTCGCAATTGTGTATGCTATGCACACACAATATGTGCTTAGCTTTTGTTCCCTAATACCTACGTACTATGTATTGCATAGCATGAAAAATACAAATCATGTTGCATTCACACTACGAGAAGTCTATAATAGCAGTGTGTCGTGTTATGTTGTTGTTGTTGTTGTTGTGTCAGATGCCATAGTGGTGCTGGAGGAGCAGCTGGTGAATGGAGGGACAGACGGTGCTACTCTCTCACTTGGCTCAGGGGACACTGTCTCACTCAAAGTACAGAGCTCCAAGAAGACTGCCACTTACTCCATTGCAAAGGTATACATATACATCCCACATGCTGGTCTAGTGCTTTCTGCTCCGTAATCGATATTCTTCTACTGATGAAGCTGTACGCGAAATTTTGCACCACGCGAAAATTTCCCGCTATACGGTATTCGTTATGAGATGAGTTGTAAACTGTCTGGGTAGCAATTAATATGCGCTGTGCAAAGTAAAGTGCGTGTAATCCTGTGAACCAGACACACTGCACAGTGTTTCTCCATGAAACGTGTGTAGAGCTCCCCAAGTAATGATACAGCTGGTTAACTATTGGATTCATGCATGTACAGTAGTTGCCGTTTTTTTTATACATAATCTCATTCTCTAACTACATATTATGTGTAAGGGAGGTTGGGACACTGGGTGTGTAGGGAGAGTTGGGCCCGTAAAAGACTCTTTAACCTACCGCCCCGGTTCTCAAGGCTGGGCACCCAGGGTCATGACTCTCTCTTTTTGTTTATATGTTATTGTCTGTGTTTTGTGTGCTTTGGGATAAGGGTTCTTTCTTTTCCTCTCATATTATTCTTTTAGGTATATAGTATGCTATAGACATGTTTTTTCAGGCGTATATTCCCTCTTCCCCAGACTGATGCCTTGAGCAAGGTGATGACAGCATTTGCCGCTGTTCTGGAGGTACCTGTGAGCAGGATAAAGTTCACATTTGACGGAGACCCAATCTCACCAGGCCACACCGCCACTGATCTAGACCTGGAAAACGACGACATAATAGATGCCAGACTCATCATCTGACCACACCCACCAGCCACCCTCTACTTTCTTTGTTTCACCACTCTTTCAATGCTGCTTTTTGTTTTAGAGACACTTTCAATCGGCTGCCATTTTATTTTATCTCTGTCGCTTTGTGTGTATTGCTACACTTTCTTGTGTTATTACTCTACTGTGCTGTATGCACCGGCAAAGATGTATATACAAAGTTGATCATTCTTTATGGAGAGTACAAAAAAATTCAGTATTAGAGGGATGCACTATTATAGATTATGATGAAGTGAGACATAAAACAACATAAACCTCGACACAAATGACAGTCAGTGCTACTGCATGTGGTGTAGGACTCGCACGTGGGTAAACTCAGTTTTCTCTTCTTACTCTGGGGTATGGTAGATACACTACAATTGCTAGGAGTACAGTGATTACTGCCAGAGCCACGACCACGCCTCCGGTTACACCTGTATTGACGGTTGTGCGAACATAAAACATCACCAAGACATCTTTTTATGGCTAACTCACCGGGATTTAGCACCAGTTTGTTGAGAGGATCTATCTGCACGTTATCATCGTCGTCGTTCATACCGTCGTTTGCCGCTTTACAAAGACTGAGGCACAAAGCCAACAACAGCAAGCCTGCTTGTCGACTCGTCATGACTTCGCTGACTCAGCACACATCGGCCCCGCCCACCCATTCGCGCATGCGCACGTTTCTCCAAAAAAGGGGGACGGGCGAGAGGTTCGGCCATGGGGTCCCACCGTCTTTGGCTCTGGCTGCCTGTAGTTTTGCTTCTGTTAGTGTTGCCCGGTCGAGTCTCTGTCTCCCTGAACGAGCAATGTTACCGAGACGACAAAGGATTAGCAAACTTTTTGTATGGTGGAAAGCGGAGTGTGTGCCCAGCCACGGGTCTCCCTTCGGTCTCTGCCCTAGTCCTACAGCCTCACGCAGCAACTATTCCACGCCGTCTCATTGACTTTCTCTTCTTGATAGAATACTCGCAGAAAATGAATGAAACATATATGCATCATTTCACCACTTGTGTCAAGAAGCTATCTTCGATGTTGGAGGCCAGTGTGTCAGCTGATCCACACTTTGCCATACTCATCTACTCCCTGGAGCTTGATCCTCCAACACTTCTCTACTACAGACACCTCCAAGTAATTCCAGGAGACTATGACTTGAAACGAGAGATCAGACGTATTCTGGAGACATTAGAGAGCACCAGTCAATCAACAGCGAACCTCTCCAGTCGAGAAATGGGATACATGGCTGTAGATGAAGCAATGAAAATTCTCAACACTGTATTGAGTGGTGAACCGATTGCAGATGTAACTGATCAATCTCACTCTGTTGTTCCCCGTCCCCAAGCCAGTCTCCATGTAGTTGTAGGTCTGGGTCTGTTTAGCAAGACAAATGGCACCAGTACCTCCACATATAGCACTGCAGGAATCTCTGAGAGAAGAACTAGCATAGAAAAGAGCATAGATCGTATCCTGGAACATCCGCTGGCTAATACGGCACTGCATTTCTTTCTTCCTCATGTTTTGACTCCAGCTGCAGAGTTCATAGGCAGCCCTCGCCACGAGATCCGCTATGAAGACTGTACCCACCTCAACAAGGCCCTTACCCTACAGGCCCTGTTGAGTGCCAGAGGCCAGGCTGGATCACTGCAGGCACACCTACTGTCTCAGGGCAGGGACATCCACATCCTGGACCTATCCGCTCTGAAAAAGGTGGACTGTATAAGAGCCATCGGTCCGGTGTTGTGGAGTGGACTACAACTCTCTCACACTGATGAGTGCAGTGGTGGTAGGGACAGGGAGTGTGTGTCCATGGATGGTTACTGCTCCCCACTACATGGCTGTATTACAGAGCCCTCTGACAGCTCCACCACTGACAGCCCGAATGACAAGGTGCCTCTGACTGGGCAACTAGTGATGAGTCATGCCGACTTTGTAAAATCGGCCTTGGGTTCTGAGCCACAAAGTATGGGTAAAACTGAGGAGCTGTCAATCACTGAGCCACCAGATCCCACTGCCCCTGCCTTTTCTCTCAGTGATGTAGTCACCGGAAAGCCTCGTATTCTAAGAGGTAGTCCGGATAATGAGTTTGCAGAGAGACTGATAAAGAGTAGGAAACCGGTGGTCGTGAAGAACTCGGTCGTGTCTTTGTGGGCAGCAATGGATAAATGGAACTTTTCCTACCTGGCAAACAACATGGGGACAGAGATACTAGAACAAGTCAAGTGTACTGACAACTACCTCAGTTTTGACCCGGACAGAACAGCACCGCTGAAGCTCTCAATTGCTCTCCCGTTCACCGAACGAAACATGTCCACCTCGTCTTTTTTTTCCTGTATCCAGGATCCATCTGTGTGTTTGGACGGCATGCTAGGTCACTACTACTTTGGCAGCGTCCCCGAGTCACTCCGGGGGGACTTGAACTCCACTAGAAGTCTCTACAGAACAGAGAAGGACTTCAAGGCGGGTAGACAGTTCCTGTGGATCTCCTCGGCTGGGATGATCACTCACGGCCACTTTGATCAGGACTACAACTTTTTCGTCCAGCTCAGGGGGAGGAAACGGTTCACTCTGTGGTCTCCGTCGCAGCACGAGCTCCTCTGCATGTACCCCCGTGTCCACCCGCTGTGGCACAAATCCCGGGTCAACTTCAGGGCCCCAGATTTGTCTAGGTTCCCCAAACTTTGCCAAGTCCAGAGCCCTGCAGGTTGTGCTGGGACCAGGTGATGTTCTGTATGTTCCTCCCTACACGTGGCACTACGTGGAGACTCTCTCTCCCTCCGTCTCTCTCTCCACCTGGTCACATGACTATGACCTCTATGACCACATGAACGCTATCTACAGACACGACCACAAGTTTGACTTGATCAAGGATCCCAGAGGTATATAAAATGTAACTTGTTACATGCCAGGTCCACCCTAAAGGGTTTCAAAGCACCTCTGCCCCCTGTAAACACCCTCTGTCGTTGGATTATTTAAGTATCACACTTTTTGTTGTTCCCTTTACAGGTCAGATGTTTGCTCTGAGACTGTACCTGGACATGATGATCCACGATCTCTACGGCTACAACCAGACGTCCAGTTTCTTCATCAGCCTCCTCTCCACCAGGTTCAAAGGTCTCCACCACCTCTTCCCTCCCTCCCCAAGTGACGTGGGCATTTGTTCGGCGACAGTGGAGAACAAGATCCCAACTTGTGTCCACATACACGGCTACGTCAAGCTGGACATGGCAGTGATTGGAGCACATTTCAAGGCCCTCCGGCCAGAGGTCATGGACATTCTGTTTGCAGACTATGTGGAGGAGGTTACAGCTCAGGTTGTTGGGGTTCGACGGATGCTGGCCTTCTTTCGCTATTGCTTCCTGGCCAGTCAGGAGTACCATGTGACTCAACTAGGGGACAAGGAGCACGATCTCTGGGACCATAAGGACCCTCCAGAAGAAGACGGCGCAATGTTTTGATACCAATTATGCATTACCTTTATGACTGTCACTATGAATGCACTAAAGAATCTTGCCAGCCACACTGTGACTCATTTCCACCAGAGAGATACCAACGTGGATCCACCTACTGCAGCTGGAAACCACCATTAGCTTAGATAAGGAGAGAAGTTTGTCTGGAGGTTGCATCTGTGGAATGTTGGTCATCCCGGTAAAGGGAATATCTTTGCCTTCTTACTCTGTATGATAAGGAGCACAAAAAGCATCATTTCTGTGTGATCCCTTGCACAGAAAATACTTACAACTGAACTTCTCCAACAGAGTAGGCCAGTGGTTAAGGTCAGGACAATTACAAGCAGCACCATGAGATAGGACAAGAGTATGATGAGATGAGACGTAATCAAAAGGCCTTCACTGGGATTGGGACTGCTGTTAGTAGGAGCTTGACATAGAGACAGAGTACAATTATTACAGGTATAATGATTCTAAAAAACTTACAATGAGGCACAGTGGAAGATGTAGGAGATTCTGATGGCTCAGTAACACCTCAGAGTCTGTTCCACTAACTTTACAGCAAGAAGCAGTAGAAGCAAGGGGGAGAATATTTGAAACAGAGACTGTCACACAACTGTCATTTCCCCACTCATCAGTTCTGTTCCCAACTGGCACTGTCCTGCATGCTCCACAAGTGTTCTCAGGAGAGTCTAGTGAACATGCTTCTCTGCCCAGGAGGGCACACTCTGGGGCTTTACTGCAATCTGACATGAAACAACACTCCTATAATAACCCTACAATTCTAGCTACAAGTTACCACAGTAATGTTACTTATTGTGTACCATGGCTGCAGTTCGTCCCTAGATAGCCCGGTGGACAAGTGCAGTCTCCAGTGATATGATGACAGCTACTACCGGCCTCGCATGTGCATGTTTCACTACAGTTGGATCCAAATGTCTCTGGAAGGCATACTATATACAGAGAACAAAATTCATGTCATGCACTGGGAGGTGGGAGTTACCTTGACTGCAGTTATATCCTCTGTATCCAGAGTCACATTCACATAGACCCAATAGTGTATTACATGAAGAGTTACCACCACACTCAGTAGGACACTCTGTTGTTTCACAGAACAGTAAGACCGTAGGATGATAGCATAGCGTTTGTAGCTTACCACATGTGAGTTGGGAGAGGTTGAGATGACTAATAAGAGATCCAGCCAGCTGTGGAGGAGACTCACATCTCCCATTGCTGTCCATTGGAAGAGTTTCTAGGAACTCCCACAACCAACGAAGGCCACAGTCGCAGTGCAGAGGATTACTTTCTAGAGAACTTTAGTCACAAAATAGTGATTTCTGACACGCTGGTTAGATTGTGCTTACATCATGGAGAGCTCTTGGTTGTTTGAAAAGCTTCCATCTTCAATGTATGTGATATCATTGTTGATGACTTTACTGTAGAGGTATTTTTAGCATGGTATAGCTATAGGCATTAGCTATAGAGATGTTTAACTGACAGTTCTTCCAGCTGAGTGAAGTGCTGCAGGTCAACTGCTGTAATGATAGTGAGTCCATTGAGGGACAGATCCCTGTCAGGGGAAGACAGAAGTCATGTTTCACGTTGATACAACCTTTGTATCTTACAAAAGCTCTACTAGTGCTGCATCTTCAACTGAGATGCTCGGGAACTCGGTAAGCCCAAACGCGGAGCAGGATATGGTGCAGCTACCACAGCCTAAGCACCCCGTGATGTTGACGTTCACGCAGGGGGTCATGAAGCTCGGTGGGAGAAGGCTTACCAACAGCAGCCACGCCAAACCAGGTAGCAACATCATCTCACTGGCTATATAGTAGTAGTAGCTAGCCCATTGCAAAAGTCGAGCCCCACCCCCATGCGCGTCATGTCCACGATCCCTTCCGCAACTAAACTCATTCCCATACCGCCACTGCACGCGGGTCAAAGTTCGCTTACACTAAACCTTCTGCCCCTTTAGCCGTTTCCGCAAGATCAGAGTGAGGCAGCAGGGTAATGGACGGCGAGGAGGGCGAGTACGTCCAGGAAGAGGCGGAGGTGAGCTCAGAGAACTCTGAGGATAGCGAGGACTCCGAGGAAGAAGAAGAAGGAGAAGATAGTACGTTTGTTTGTACGGTGTCCACATGTAGTTGTCCGTGGCAGTACACTTCTATAAAACCTATGTTCGCTACTTTGTAAGAACTGGTCAACTATAGTGTCTGATTGCTGTGTTTAGCATTGTGGTGCAAGCACTCTATTTAATGCACACCTCACCGCACAGTTGAAGGTCTTATCAATGACAACCCTGATGAGGGAGGGGAGGAGAGTGGGGAGGGGGAAAGTAGTGCCGAGAGTGGAGGAGAGGGGGAGGGGGAGGGAGAGAGAAAGAAGAAGAGGAAGCGTAAAGGTAAACAGAACTCTTCTTGTAACACTGGGGTAATAATGTGATATCTTTCTCATTGTGTTTGTTCTGTATTTGCCAGTGGATGACCAGTTAGATGAAGATGATTTGGAGCTGATCAAAGAAAACATTGGATTTGATATTCAGGCTGTGAGATTGGGGGTCTTTGTATCCCTATAATGTACGTATGACTCATTCTATGCACTGTATGTGACATCACAGAAGAAGCAGCGCAGGGCTCACTTTGAGAGTGATGATGAAGAGGAGGAGGTGGGAGGGGGAGGGAGGGATGCGGGGAGGAGGATGGAAGAAGCAAGGAACAGTGAGATTAGTCAGGTTTGTTTCTCTCTTATCGTTTATATACACCTCTGGACTATTGTCTTTATGTACATATGTGTGTACACAGGTGTTTGGTGGAGATGATAGTGATGATGAAGAATTGCCTCCGTCTGGTCTTTCAGCACGACAGGTTGGACTCCCTGTGTTGTAGTTCTGAGGGGTAGCTCTATCCAATGGCATGCTGATATGCAGTATTAGTAAGACGTAGTTGTGTAGCATTTATGGGTTCAGGGTAGAAGCGTGTGTCAGCAACTAGGTCTCAAGGCAAAAGCAAAGCATAATACTGTACCCTGCTGTGTGTGTGTGTGTGTTGTGTAGGGAGGAGAGAGTAGGAGGGACCTTGATGAAGAGGAGGGCACAGAGGAAGAAGGTCCTCCTACTGACGGTGAGTCTAACACTCTGCCATATCCTCCACTAGCATAGGGTTGACATGTTCCTCCTTCATAGATTTTTGTGTCTATACCCGTTAGCAGCAGTATAGCTGAACCACCTGTTTCTCCCTCTCTCTGTCCCACCACAGATATGGGTGATTTCATAGTGGGAGATGATGGGAGACCAATCAATATCTCCAGACCTGGAGGAATGGACGCCGAGCCGTGAGCCACTAACATCAGCACTAGTCCACTAGTCATGCAACTCTACTGTTCTTTTAGTCAGTAGCACACTAACAGCCTGCGGAGTACAACATGTACATGTTTGGTGCACTGCATAATACGATAATACTGGCACTGGAGTTTTTGTTTGGCTTAGAGAGGGCTTTCTGCTACCTGTCTGTATTGGTACAGAGAGATACCGTCTGGTGCTGTAATACATATGTACAGGGCTCTGCTGGAGGCTCAAGAGATATTTGGACTGGACTTTGACGACCCCAATGAGTTTGCTCGTGTGGCGGAGGAAGGTCTGGGCAGTGAGGAGGAGGAGGAGGAAGAGGAAGATGAGGTGAGCTCTGATGCACCATCCACTGTAGTCGGTATACTGTATGTACATTGCATGCTAGCGTTATTCTGACTGTGTTATAAGACAATGCTCACAAACAACTGTAGCTTCTGTAGGCCACTTTAGGCCATTTTCCTCTTTTGTGTGTACGTATGCATAGCCATTTTGGTGCATGTTTCATTACACGGTAAGCAACAGGCTGTACTGTTTGTGTACTGTTCTTTGGAAGATACAGGATTTGTATTAGCCTGAAGTAGTATATATAGAAAGCCAGTGTCTTTGTATGTATCACAGTACCTGAGTGGAGAAGAAGAGGAGGAAGAGGATGAGGTAGGAGGATCTCAGAGACGCAGGCGACGTCGTCTCCGTAAGGCCAGGAAGAAGACCAGTATCTACGACGTCTATGAGCCGAGTGAGCTCGAGAGAGGCTTCTTTACCGACAGGGACAAAGACATCCGTGTCACCGACATGCCCGAGAGGTTCCAGGTACAATACTTCTCATACTGTATGTGCCACCCCCAAATTTATAGGCTTTGTCACTCCTCTGATGTACATGGTATGTACTACCAACTGTCATAGATGCAAACAGTAGCTTCATTTATGCCATATACTATATACAACCTAATAACTAAGCGAAATACCATCGCCATCCTCTCCATTAGTACATGGGGTGCAGCATGCAGCATTAGCCAATTGCATAGTATCTGTTGCTATACAGCATGCAATGCTGCTTCGTTGTGTTGCAGTTAGGTGTGTGTTGTATATCTACCTTCATTCTGGCTACTGCAGACGCGGTCCCTGGCAGTACAGAAGACAGAGGAGGGAGAACTGGACGAGGAGGCAGAGTGGATCTTCCAGAATGTATTCTCCAAACACCCCATCTCTAAACAGGTGAGGAGATGCGCTCTACCACCTCACGGCCTCTTATTCTGAGTCTCTCTCTCTCATCTTCACATCCATCATTCTTGAACCATGCATTTAATTGAATATTGATTAACCATGAGGGACCAAAAGGGTTTTGCACTGCTTTCTTGCGTGTGTACATATTGTCAGCAAAGGGGTTGCAGTATATATATACTTGGTCTGTGTGTGTTCTCTTTTTTCAAATCTCGCTTCCGGAGGGTTTGCAATTTAGTGCTTTTCATTAACCCTCGGTGCGCATGCGCAGCGAGTGTTGCAGTAGTTGGTTTGTCTGTCTGTGTGTGTGTCGACACCCATTCTGGCACTACAGGCTACGAGGCGGCTTATTAGCGGCTTCAGAATGACGCGAGCCTGAAAAATAAAACGGCGATTACACATTCCTGAAACGACTGCGTTTGAGAGATATGCCGTGAAAACAAGCAAAGAAGCCAATATGCATAATCGCACTGGGCTTACCGTGACCTGATCTGCTAACTCTGTGTACCTTGGGGGCTCAGGAAATCACAACGAATGGCATGTGTCGACTCCCGCATGCTATCTACTACTGTAGCTAGCCCGTGTCAGACTCTCCGCGAGCTACTAGCGGGAGACCACGAGTAAACGCATACAAATAGCCCAGCCCATCAATTAGCAGTATCGCGCATGCGCAGTTCGCCGAGGGTTTGCACTTTAGTGCTTTTCATTCTAATGGGAACAATAACACAAACTACCACATCTATTTCACAACTGTTCAGTTTGTACTTTGTTCTCAGCGAGTGCAAACTGCACACGTCATTTCCTTCTGCTGGTCGTAAGGAGGACACGGCAGACTGCCACAGCGAGGCTCAACGAAGTAGAAAAGAGCTCCGTTTTCATCGGCCTGGCCACCGTCTGCCTTCTCTGGTGTTTTATCCACACACTCGAAGGAGGATCGGTGATGGCCGTGGTGCCCAGCCATAAGGAACCCGTAGTATTCTGTCGTCCACTTTGCTGGACATTTGTACGTTCCGGGAACCATTATTTTGGTTGACCGGGTTGCAACGTAGCACACTACGCACGGTACATTGTTATTCTGGAGTGTATGAAGGGCCTTGGGGACGTTTCCTCCCACTTCGTACTCAGTGCCATAGATTAACGAACCGTCTACCGTGCCAGGACCAAAGTCAAAGTTCTCTGGTTTGAGTGTGACACACTGGTAGTTTGCCCCACCCCCTTTGTGGGAATAGTGGCTAGCAGCAGCTCTGCCCACGTAGACCACTTCGGCCTTGGGTGGACAGACTGTACGACCCCACCTCACGTAGGAAACGCCGCGTCGGAAAAATATCTTCACGTTTTTATCATCCTGCTTCTCATCCATGGCTACAACTTCGTCGTAGATGTCGGGAGAATTTTGTGTGTATGCGTCGTCGTACTCCCTCTTTGCCACAAGTTCGTGATCTGCAAAAACCACTTGACAGTTAAACATGCCCTTTTGTGTCTGGTGTGATTGTGTGGCTTACCGCTGACAGACGTGGCTGCACAGACCACAGTTGCCAAAGCTGCACAGAGTACGGTGGAAAACAGCAGTAGCTTGCCCATCGTGGTGAAGTGTGCTGACAGCCCAAGGTTCTGTTTTTGAAGAGGTGGCTAGTATGTCTTTGCTCGCCTGGTAGAAAAGAAATGATAGCAACTGCAGCTGTTGTTACTGTTTGTGAGACGACATCCAACTTTATATCAGAGCTCAGTGCAGTTTGATGCACGATGATTACCTCTAATTAACAACTATTTTACATCGCTTAACTCTTCATGTATTAGAGTGCATGGGGAATTGAATTTGTCGGCATTCCTATTAAATACCCCATGGCTCCTGGCCTTCTGACATCGTCAACAACTAGGGAGTTATGGGAAAACAACCCCGCGCAGTAGGCACATTTAATGACTGATAAGGAGAAGGTGTATATATACCTGCAAGTGCAGCAGAAACAAAAACAACTGATCCCCTCAGAACAAGACGAATGGATCTTGCACGGTTAAAGGAAGAGAGTGTTAGTTGACTATATACAGGTCATTAGTGTAGGAGAGAGGAAAGACGAGAAGAGAGGGGGAGGGAGTCAGAACTCTGCTCCTATAGACAGAGTGTGGGGCACCACAGACTGTCAATTTCACTTTGTCCACATTCATTCTGGGTTACACATGTGTTGCGTTAACCCTCGGCGTCCATGTGTCGTCGTCATCTCCCAGAATTGTAACAAAAAGGCTTGTATTTTAGATTAGGTAGAATTTTTTCGCTCCCTTCTGGAAAGAGTGGGTACTGCTGTACTTGGTTTGTCCGTCTTTCATTTCTGTGTGTAGTTGCATTTCGAATGGGTGTTTCTGAACCGTAAACCAATTCACTCCCGCCATTCCTCCTCCCTCTGCCACCACTGCAGCCACTCAGTTTCTCGCAGAAGCCGCGGGGCTCCGCTGGTAGGGGGTCCTCTGGGACCTACTCCAAACCCCCGTCAGCCGTGCCCAAGATTAGAGAGGCCCTCAACTTCATGAGGAACCACTCGTTTGAGGTGCCCTTCATCGCCAACTACCGCAAGGAGTACGTGGAGCCAGAGTTGGACGTCCACGACCTCTGGACCATCTGGCAGAGTGACGAGAAGGTTCGTAAATCTGGTTTACTCTACTGTAAATCAATCTTCCTGGTTATTTATAAAGATCACATTAAACTATTTTTCAGCGAGTGAAGCAATTTTTTGAAAAGTCAATAGTCTGTGAGGTTTGTGTCCATATTAGCCATTGGCTTGGTCATAAAAAGAAAGTCTGGTTTGATAGCTTTTCAATCTTGTGGTTTTCTTAATAATAAGTACACTATTTAGAAAGGATTTTCTGCTGCATTTTTAGAGCTGTAGTAAAAATAACTAAAAATGTGTCATCAACTTGCGGAACCCCTTCCCATGATTTTCAACCTCTTCTGACTTACTGACATATTAATGTGTATGTTGTTTTTGTTAGAATCCATGACATCATCCCTGCATTGAATGGTGTGTATACCAACAACACTGAAACTAAAGTTAAAAACTTTTGGTTTTGAAAAGAAACTTGGCCTCTCAAATCTCCCAAGTTTAAAAAACTTGTCATAGCAAAACAGTACTTCCTAATGTCATTGCAAAATGGTACATACGTAGTTGCACGTGTTCAGCGTACGTACGTATATATACAACATACCAAAATCTAGAAGAGCAGAAGGAAAGAAAAGGCAAGAGAGAAAAATGTTCGTCTTTGAGGGCTTCGTTTTTGTGGTGTGTTTCTTCAGCTCTCGTGTTGTTGCTGACAAGAACTGTACCGGGTTTCTTCATTGTTCTTGGAACAACAGCCTAGAGAGTCAGGTTCAACCTTTTGGAATAAACAACTATAGTCTGAGTTCCAGAGTTGCGTGTCCTCCCTGGTACCGGGTGGGATATGATGGGTCATGTTGCAAAGGAAGAATGCTGAATGGTGTCATTGAGTTTCGGGAGGGGACAAGACAAACTTGGCTACAGCGAGTTATACTGCATGACAACCCATGGAAACGGCTCAAATAGAGCCGATGTAGTTGGAGGGTGTCTTTTTTCACTGAGACATTTTCGTCCAGGCACCCTAGCTACCCTCTGCCCTGCAAAATATCTCTACTGAACACGAGGATGTGCGGAAGGGTGGAACAGAGAAGGCCAGCTTTGCGGTCGTTGCGTGAAGGGGTTTGCCCCACCCGTTTACTCGTACTCACTTGCCTGTGTCAACTGCACTGACTACCATCTCAACTGGCTCAAATACATCGGAGTAGCGTTTGGTCCACTCACACTGTTCTGTCTATCCATATGCTTTTTCCACATCAGTGCTACTTCTCCCTATCTTTACGGCTATGTCTTCCTCTGCCAAGTATTGACATCTCCTACAGCATTGAGAATAGCAGATCTTAAGCTTGACTCAAATAGAAATATCATTGCCTCGAAATTGTACCTTAGTGTCATGAGTATTTGGAATCTGGATTTTTTCTCTTTATTTTACAAACCATTTTGTCTCCACCCAAAAATGACCATCGTTCAAGCCCTAACTCTGAACTATCTCGTAGCGCTGTATCCTCTTGTGCTACTGCTTGTAGTGTGGCTCTTTGTTAAACTTCACAGTCAGAATGTGACGGTGATCGTGGCACTTTGGAGACCCTTCAGAGCTCTCCACAGACCGTTTCTTCGCAATCTCAACGTTAAATCGTCTCTCATTGAGTCGTTTGCCACACTCTATTTCCTATCTGCCATGAAGATACAGAGTGTGAGTGTTGATCTGCTGGTACCAACCGCTCTTTTTTTAGTGGATGGGTCACACAAGAGCATGTATTTATACTTGGCTGGAGATGTCGAATACTTTGGGAGCGAACACCTTTTTTATGGTCTTCTTGCATTTTTCTGCTTAGCTATTATCACAGTGCTTCCCGGGCTCCTTCTCTTCCTCTATCCTTGTGGTTTCTTTCAGAAATTTCTGAATAGGATGAAGTGCAATTTTGTCGGCCTAAGGATTTTCATGGATGTGTTTCAGGGCAGCTATAAGAATGGTACCAATGGTACGAGAGACTACCGTTTCTTTTCCGGTGTATTTTTCTTCACTCGCTTTATCTTGGTTACCAATTTTGTGGTGCTCAACTCTGCTTTTTTCTTGATGGTGTCTGGGGTCGTTATCACAGCGCTGGGTTTCAGTGTCGCTATACTTCGTCCACAACGTACCTACAGCCACTATATCCTCGACTGTTTCATTTGCATGATCTTCACATTTGCATTGTTTTCGCTGATTGGATTCTCCCTACCTCACGTGAACACCATTCCTACAAAAATTGCGCATTTTTTCCTTGACATCACTTTGAGTTTACCAGTGGTCTACGTGACTGGCCTTATGGGATACTGGATATTCATCAAGAAAAGAATTCCGCAGAACATTGTGGGCTTTGTGACTAAAATTGCCCACAGAAACGAGCGACATTGTTTGCTGAATGATGTCCAAGACTGAAGTCTTTATGTTCATACGTGACAGTTTGCCTTAATTAACCCTCGGCATGCATAGGCAGCGAGGTTTATAGTACTTGGTTTGTTTGTGTGTGTGTGTATTACAGTATTGGGTGTGGTCTGGACTCGTGCCCTTGATCGTTGAGGTCAACGGTTCGATCCCAGTCTGGGGTGTTGTTTTTATAATGATGCAATGTGAGTGTGGGTATAAGTGGAACGTTTTTTCATCGACTCTCGTTGCCGGCCCAAGTGGCTAAGTGGTTAGAGACGTGGGGACTGTCACATAAGGTGCCCGGTTCGAATCCCGGACCCGCACTGTAACTGACAGGTGGTCCAGAGCATTGGCTGGGAACAGCTCTGGTTCCTCCCCTTACCCATGAATCTACCACTGACCCAAAGGGCAGCGTATAGTTTGGCATTGCACTGCGTCCATAGACCTCTGTCTGGAGAGATAGAGGGCTGGCAAATTATTATTTTTTTCCCAACCTTAGAAGTAAGTGTTTTGCCTAAAACAATCCATGGATAACATTCAACTATTTTTTTCAAACTTAAAAAATAGTGTCTAACATTAAGCTTTTTTTTTCAATGGAATTGTGTAACATTTAGCTATGTATCGCCAGTAATGTATGTACACACGTATATATAGTGCCATAGTGTTGATGTCTGTCACCACAATATCTGCCTCCACCCGCAACTCTCCCTCTCTCCCTCTCCCTCCCTCTCACCAGTGGATGCAGCTGAAGCAGAGGAAGGCTCAGATGGTGAGATTGTTCAAGAGACTCCAGGACTACCAGTTTGAGAAGGTGAGGGAGCAGCCGGACAAGGCACTCACCGAGGACACGCGACCTGTCTCTGAGGAGGACATCGCCAGGTAACCTCTGATCGTATTGTGTACATATACTGTGCAAACATCAACAAGGCTGCAAGGCAAAGGAAAATGAAACAGGTCAACTACTCACAGGACAACTCTTTTTTCCAAGGAAAAAAGGAAGAGCTGGCCCTAGGTGGGTGGGATTCGAACCCACGAGACTCTGCAGTCTAGTGCTAATGTATCCCCGCTTTTCAATCACAAACTGTGTATTTTCCATCTTAAGGTAATTTCTAGCTTTTCATCAGATGAAGTAGAAAACTGTATAGAGTATGCGGTACATAAAATTTAGTTGTTGTGGGATAATGCAGTGTGAATCTCCCTCCATCCCTAGACTGAAGGCTGTAAAGACGGCTGAGGAGTTGTCTGACGTGTTTGCCCAGTTCAGTCTGTACTACGGCAGAGACCTGGTGGACATGCAACATCTCAAAGCAATGCAGAAGAGACAGGGAGACAACGAGGACCAGGTACAGTAGTGTAGATGACCTTCACTTCACCAGACCATTGGTTAAAGCCACATATTGTGAAGATTACACTCAAAATTTGTGGGTGTTCCACGGAAGTTGTAGATAAAAATTTCCCAGTGATTTGTATCTCCATGAGCTGCATGATGTGGTTCAGTATCACAATGTATGAACACTGTACTAGTATGCCATGTTGGTGGCTTTCTGCAGGAGCTGGAGGTAACAGAGGGAAGTGGGGGAGGCGGGAGGTCCAAGAAGAAGACGGCCATAAAGCAGGCTCACAGGAAGACGTTCTACGTGGCGTGTCAGGAGGCGGGGCTGGGTTCTCTGGCGGCCAAGTTTGGCCTCACTCCGGAGCAGTTTGGGGAGAACTTAAGGGACAACTACCAGAGACATGAGACCGACCAGCACACGGTGGAGCCCGAGGAGGTGGCCCAGGACTATGTCCAGCCTTCTGGGTTAGCCTTGGGGGGACACTGTACTCATACAGTATATATATATACATATATATTATACACGAGTTTATGAGCACTGACATATTATATGTGTAGCTTATTGACTGGATTACCTCATAGTAGCTCGATGGCTTCTCCACTGGATTACCTTAGATTTTGGCTAATGCATTAGATGGTTGATTGCAGCGTGATTAGTAGCTCACTGCAGTGCATATAGGTATGAACAGCTTCTTTGCTTAATGTTTCCTTTTTTAGTAGGAGTGAGACAAGAGTGTGCGTTTAAGGCAACTCGCCTCACTAGGCTCGAGATTTATTTCTCCAATGAGTGTTGCTACAATCACATTTATTGCTTGGTTCTTGACAGATGAAAAATGCTGTTTCCCTCTCAACAGTGTGTTCACGAGTGTCCGCAAGGTGCTGCAGGGGGCGTGTCACATGGTGTCCCTCCAGCTGGCTGCGGAGCCTCTGGTGAGACAGGCTGTGAGACAGGTCTTCCAGACCAGAGCTCTCCTCAATGTCAAACCTACCAAGAAAGGCAAAAAGGTGTATATACAACGACGTGTTTAATACATGTGGCAGTTAATATAATTATGCATGCATGTTGGAAGTGTTGATTTCCCCCTGTTTATGCTGTCTTTTGGGTGAATTCCTTCCCCCACAAATAATTCTTAGGATTCGCAATTTTTGCATATTACTCTCTGTGCTTTCATCTTAATGTATGAAAATTTTCCTTAAACAGTGTGATTCCAAAATCTGTACAGTAACACATTTCTCCAAACTCTACGCACTTGTATATCCACCAAGCAAGTAGCGCTGAGCTCTTATTTTGTGTGTTCCACATTGTACATATTGCAGTTGATAGACGACACTCACCCGTGTGCTGGTATGAAGTACATGAGGAACAAACCAGTCAGGGACCTGGCGGGGGCTGACTTCCTGAGACTGGTGCAGGCAGAGGGAGAGGGCCTTCTGGAGATGAAGATTGGTATTGACCTGGACCAGGGAGCCCAGGACACCAGGCGAGGCGGCGGAGGGCTACAGTCCTACTTTGAGGAGATAAGACAACTCTTTTATAGGGTGCGTACACGCAGTCAATACTCCATATTATCTCTCCCTCTACCTCATGTGCACTGTGTTTTAGCCACGCTGTGAGGCACAACACTCTATACATTGTTAAACAGAATGTGGCAGTATCATAAGGGCTAAATTTAGAAACGATATTACTAACCAAAATCACCAAGTGCAAGAATGCAATTAGTTTTCCGATTTTCTACATTTAGCCACAACCACATTCTCTTTAACCCAACCCCCTTTTCATGTGTGTATATACTTGCACATACATAGCCCCATACACATCTATGATGCTATACTACAGGTATATACATACGTACCATGCCCATCCCTATACACTAAGTATTACCGTACTTAGTGATTCTATGACTCCTTGATCCACTAATATTGTACACACACATTTCTAACATTTGTAGGATGAGTTCAGTCGTCTGGTGGAGAAGTGGAATGCGCAGAGAGCCCAGGCGGTCTACTCTGCTCTGGTCAAGTTCCTCTATCCTCTGATGCAGAAGGAGCTGTACACCAAACTCCTCATAGAGGCCAAGGAACATGTCCTGAGGGTGAGGACACTGATGAATGGCCGCATGCATGACTCACCACTTGTTGCCTCCATTTGGGCATCTGTAAATTGATTGTTTACATGATATACGGTTTCCTCCTCTTTTCCTGCTGTTTGGTATTACCATTTTGCTTTTTTTGTTCCCTTGTTGTTCCTTTTCACTTGTTGCCCATCAGTAAAACTTGTTCTGAAGCATTTCTTGTAGTGCACATGAATCTTGTTCTGAAGCATTTCTTGTAGTGCACATGAATCTTGTTCTGAAGCATTTCTTGTAGTGCACATAAAACGTGTCCTGGAGCATTTCTTGTGGTGCACATGTGTATTCACTTGTGTTGCGTGACTGATGCTCACTGTCGTGGTTGTGTGTGTGTAGAGCTGTGTCCAAACGTTCCGAGACTGGCTGGACGGAGCTCCGCTGGCAGCCAAGAAGGAGGAGGACGAGGAGGACAGGTACCTCTCCCAGGGTGAGGGCCCCTTCACCAAAGTCGTGGCTGTGGCCTTTGGATCTGACAAGTGAGGGGGGGAAGGTTTGGGCTTTTGCTGCATGTCATTAACCCTCGGCGCGCATGCGCAGCGAGGGTTACGGTACTTGGTTTGTGTGTCAGTCTGTGTGTCAGTCTGTGTGTCTGTGTGTCAGTCTGTGTGTCAGTCTGTGTGTCTGTTCACGTTTTCTGCCACTAGACGCAACAAGATCGCCAAAACTCTACACCAACGGGTTCGGCGCTACATTTCCTTCGTTTTAAAACTCACGATTTTCGTAAAAACACTGCGTTCAGAAGTTATGGCGTGAAAAGCAAGTGAACAAGCCAATATGCAAATTAGCACGGGCTTACCTCGACAAGATGTGCTTGATCTGCGTACCTTGGAGGCACAAGAAGTCACAACGAAGGGCGTGTATCTACTCCCGCATGCTATATACTACTGTAGCCAGCCCGTGTCAGACTCTCCGCGTGCTATCTACTACTGTAGCTAGCCCGTGTCAGACTCTCCGCGTGCTATATACTACTGTAGCTAGCCCGTGTCAGACTCTCCGCGTGCTATATACTACTGTAGCCAGCCCGTGTCAGACTCTCCGCGTGCTATATACTACTGTAGCTAGCCCGTGTCAGACTCTCCGCGTGCTATATACTACTGTAGCTAGCCCGTGTCAGACTCTCCGCGTGCTATATACTACTGTAGCTAGCCCGTGTCAGACTCTCCGCGTGCTATATACTACTGTAGCTAGCCCGTGTCAGACTCTCCGCGTGCTATATACTACTGTAGCTAGCCCGTGTCAGACTCTCCGCGTGCTATATACTACTGTAGCCAGCCCGTGTCAGACTCTCCGCGTGCTATATACTACTGTAGCTAGCCCGTGTCAGACTCTCCGCGAGCTACTATATAGCGGGTATACTAGAGGCCCAGCCAATCAATTAGCGGTATCGTGCAAGCGCAGTTCGTCGAGGGTTTGCACTTCAGTGCTTTTTAGGCAGGGGTGTGCGTTACAAAATGACATGAGTTGATTCAAATAATTCCAGTGTTTAATTTGAGCCGGGTAAAGTCTTCCACCCCCAGTGTGCGACACATAGTTGATTTGTCTCTTCTTCCATTCTTGTGCCTACAAAAAATTTGAAACTGTTAACCCCCACCAGTTAGAGCCAGTGTGGTGTTGCCTCCCTCCCTCCCTACCAGGATGGTGCCCGCATTCTGCTGTGCTCTGGACAGCACAGGCTCAGTGGTGGACTACCGGAGACTCCCCAACATCCTCAAGAGGAGAATCAGCCCCTCTGAGAGAGAGAGGAATGAAAAGGTACGTACTTCCACAACCCCATTACCGACCACTGTGAGTGGTTGTAGAGTCTTGTACAATGCATGTTCCCTATGTTTGTTGCAGGAGAAGGATCTAGAGAGTTTCAAAGACTTTGTCTCAAGAAAGAGACCTGAGGCTGTTGCTCTTGCTGCTGAATCCAGGTATTTATACAAGCCCCCAAATGAACTCGCTCTAATTACACAATCTATGCTGTATACGTGGGTAAACTCTTACTGACTATTACACCACATCTGAAGTTTGACCTAGCTGCTAACCTGTGGACCATGGTGCTAACCTGCCTTAATGTACTACTCATCATTCATAGATGAATTGCTCTTGACCTGAAATAGTGGTACATTGTGAACTCACTAAGTGTACTCTCTAGTAGATGTTTACCACTGGTCTGTGTGTTCCAGGGATGCCCTGATGTTGGCAGATGACCTGAGCAATGCTCTGGTGGAGCTGGAGGGAGAGGAGGGTGTCCCAGTGGTCCCTGTGGAACTGGTCACCCCCGACGTCGCCAAGATCTTCTCCAAGTCTCCCAGAGCAAAGGTCTGTGTGTTTGCGTGATTGTCTCTTATGATAGTGAACTTGGAACTACTATTATACATGTGCAGTAGTGGGCTGGTACCAATAATATGTTAGTTTGGAGGGCAAAACTGAATTAGGCCCCAGACACCTACAAAGCATGTGCTGACTCGAAGCTAGCACTGAAGGGTAAACCCTTGGCACAAGAAGGAAGAGCTTGTCTCCTGTGCAATATGCAGGGCACAGCTATAATCATTTGTGTAGATCTCTTTAGCCTATGTTTTCAAATGTTGACTTGTCCCACTGTCACTGTCACTTACTAACCAGTCTAAACTAGTATGAGTATGCCCGCTGACTATATAGCTGTCAGCGTTGCCTGTCCACTAGTGTATTTGTGTGCACCCACAGGAGAGTTTTCCGGAGTACCCAGAGCTACTGTGTGAGGCCATCTCGCTGGGCCGACGACACCAGGAGCCACTCCTGGAGTTTAGTTCCCTCGCCTGTGCCGAGGACGACGAGCTACTCTCCCTCAAGATGGACCCCCTGCAGTCTTCCCTGGACACCGACGACCTGCGCTCCTGCTTGGAGCTTGAACTGGTCACCAGAGTCAACGATGTCGGAGTGGACATCAACTTCTGTCTTGAGAACCCTCACGGAGTCGGCATGCTCCCGTTTGTCTGTGGACTGGGCCCCAGGAAGGCCATGTTCTTACTCAAGGTCTCTACTATTCTGTTTTGCCTTTTTTGGCCATATTGTAAGCTTTATGATATTGATATATACAGTGGGAAGGTGGGAAGGTGGGAAGGTGTTAATCTTTATGTGTGTTCTGGTATTGTGTTGTGTTCAGATTCTGAAGCAAGAGAACTCTCAGCTAAAGAACAGGTCGGAGCTGGTAACGCAGTGTTCCACTGGACCGCAGGTCTTCATCAACTGTGCCGGATTCATCCGCATCGACACCAATGCCTTCACCGACACGTTAGTCTTAATGCATGGTTTACCGAGCTCATTTTTTCAAATAGACTTTGATGACCCCTTACACCTTGTATGATTCTTATCACCCTACATTATAATGTCCATACAAACTCTGTTAGACATGGCATATTTCTAGTGTACCTATGCTTCTGTTTGGCTAATGGACTGTTGTTCCATGCAGTGACAACACCTACATAGAGGTGCTGGACAGTACCAGAGTCCATCCTGAGACATACGAGTGGGGCCGCAAGATGGCAGTGGATGCTCTGGAGTACGACGAGGTGTGTGGTGTGTGTGTGTGTGTGTGTGTGTGTTGTGTGATGGTGAAGAAACATAAGGAAGGGAAATAAGGAGAAATAAGGTAATAGAGTAACAGGGTTGGGAGGGCTTTTGTCGTGTGATGAGGTGTGATGAGGTCTGTGGGGTTAGGAAATAATATGTCAACGAGGAGGGTGTGTCATATGGTATATGGTAGAGCCGGGGGTGATGTAAGAATGGTGTGGATGCAACAACGTGTGTGAGCGGGGGAGTGTATAAGTTCTGTGGAAGAAAAAAGACTGTGACAAGCTGTGTGAGGGAGGAGGTTGTGTGACCGTGTGTATGTGGATGTGTGACCGTGTGTGTGTGAGGAAGGAGGATGTGTGACCGTGTGTGAGGGAGGAGGTTGTGTGACCATGTGTGTGTGAGGAAGGAGGATGTGTGACCGTGTGTGAGGGAGGGAGGATGCTGTTACTCGATAAGACTGTTTTCATGTCTCCACTGTATGATGTGGTCTATGGTGTGACGAGTTAGACTGGAGATGAGAGCCACCCAAGTGCAGCAGTGGAGGATATTCTACTGACTCCTGATAAACTCAGAGATCTGGACCTCGATGCCTTCGCAGAGGAGCTAGAGAGACAGGTACATACATGCGTACATGCGTACATAGGCAGGCAGGAACGGTTTGAAAGCATGGTGATGTAGAGGTGTGGCACATTTCACCTTGTGCTACAGCATCACGCAATGTTAAAAATCGTGCCAGGTAGTACATATGTGTGGACATACAGAGGAGGAAAAGTGTGCAGTTTACTCATGCAATTACCAATTACCCGTTTAGTCTCCTCGTTATCATTATTAGATCAATCTCCATACATGTCGGTAGGCATGTCCCACGTCTACTTACGAAAGGCCAAGTGTTTACTCAGCGTGTTATATGCTTGGTTAACTTCGGCCAAACCACGCTATAGGAACACTTTGTAGAGCAATAAATGCCCACTCTCTATGATGTGTACTAGTGTACGTAAAGTGAGCATGCATGCAGCTGACATTCGAACTACACTTAAACCTTTGGACGCCTTGGGGATGTGCTTAAATAAGCATAATTTGATGTATAAAGTATTAGTGCCTAGTATTATAACCCCTATATAAATTCTTATGGACTTATGGAGTCTCTGGGCACATTTTATGTGTCGGTGGCTGGCTAAGTGTTAACCAACGTATGCGATTGACACATGCAAAAGTGACTGTTGGAACAGGAAAGAGATGTCCATAGGAAAGAGGTGTGATGTGTATTATACAGACTGATGTCCACGTGGTGTTGTCTGCAGGACTATGGGAACAAGAGGACGACACTATATGACATCAGAGACGAGCTCTTCTCTCCCTACAAGGAGAGGAGGAAGCCCTACCAGTCCCTAAGTCCTGAAGAAAAGTTTGCCCTTCTAACAGGTAGACCTGTAAAGTCCATTTGTACAGTGAATTGTGCTGTATAACATACAATATAGTGGGTGTTGTAATATTTGCCCATTCAGTTGCATGTAAACCTTTCATGCATGAATGTTCATGGCTACAAATGAAAGTTTAACGCCCTGAAGTGGTACAAAGGTTTTCCAAATTCAAAAGTTGGTTAATTTGAGGGTTGACCTTATATTAGCCAACCATTGCTATATTAGGACGCCCCATGGCAATTGAAGCCCATATTCTGCATGGCTATCATACCGTGTAGGTGAGACTCCAGAGAGTCTGTACAAGGGGAGACTGGTGACGTGTACGGTGGTGGGCATCGTTCGCCGGAAACCGCCGCGAGATGTCCTGGACAGAGCTAACCCCATAGAGAACAAGACGACTGGTTACTGGCAGTGCCCCTTCTGCCTCAAGGACGACTTTAGAGAGCTGAGTATGGTGAGTGTGGAAGTTGTGCTGATCTCCCTTCAACTGACACTGCCTCAATGTCATTTGTTAGAAGGAAAATGTAGTATGTGTTGTGAGGGGAGATTACACTGATGTGTCTGTAGAGTTTTATTGGTGTATCAAGGGTGTGTGCAATTTGTTAACGTAAATTTTTGTAGTAGAGTCCTTACAACTGGCAGCGATTAGTACATGCACTGCACCAAGTTAATGCCTTACTGTCCAGTGAGGCTCAGCAGACAACCCGTGGCACATCACAGTGAGTGTGCTTGTATTTCTGGTGTCTGTAGGTGTGGCAGCATTTCGACGATGGTAGTTGTCCGGGGCAGGGGATCGGGGTGCGCGCCCGACTGGAGAACGGTCTGTCGGGATTCATACACACCAAGAACCTCAGTGACAGTCAGGTCAACGCCCCCGAGGAGAGGGTCCACGTAAGTTGAAACTGTGACCTCGTTCGCGATGTGAAAATGTTGCACAGTGTAACTGAGAGTAGTAAACTGTAAGTGAATTGGTTCATACCGACTTGTGTTTGGGGTATGACAGCATTTTAAAAATCTGCATCACCCCTTCCATATTATTGAAACTGTATATATAGCACATAATCCTGAGGTTGTGGCATGTTTTGTTTGCGTTTTCCCTCTTTCACCCTGCTACCCCCACTGCCACAGATTGGAATGACTATCCATGCTAGGGTCTTGACAGTGAATGTGGAGAAGTTCTCAGTTGATCTCACCTGCCGCTCCTCTGACCTCAAGGACTCTGACGGAAGATTCAGGTCTCACTGCACACACACACACACACACGCACACACATCCACTCTGCGTAGCCCAGTTCCGCCAACTTTTGTTGTGTACAAACAAAAAGACAACTTTGTTGTATCTGGGAAAACTTGTGCATGCAGATTTCAATCTCCACAAGTATATAACACCATGCATAAAAGTGTTTTCCTCGTGGCATTCTTGTTAAGTAACATTTTCTCACTCAAACGTTACACATTGTGACTTCAGTTGCACACGCAGTACAGGGTTGCTCCTATAATTCATTCCTAGGGTGTCTATATCGGTAAACTGTGGGTTTCATGTATATACATCTGCAAGGCTGCGTTCACCACTATACATGTACATTACGTTGAGTGTGTTTCGAATTGTTGTTGCGTGAAAATACAGAAAGTGTGGGAACAAAGGAGTATCAGCAGTGCACGAGCAGACGTTAACTTGGGACACTCTCTTGTTTGCAGTGTTGCAAAGGATGTCTATTTTGACAAGCAGGCGGCAGAGGCAGACATGAAGAAAGAGGAAGCTGCTCACAAACACCCCAAACAAAGTGAGGACCCATCCCAAGCCCCTGGTCTCTTTGATATCTCACCGGTCTTGCGTGGTTTTAGTGTATGGATTCATTGTGTGTGTGTGTTATTATAAATGACCTTTTTATAAGCTGTGCTATATTATTATACGTCACGAAGCTGCACAACTCATGAAATTGAAGCGGGTGTGTAACTGAGTGCATCAGACCAGTATATACAGAGCCTCGCAATGGTGCAGGCCAGTACATTTAGCTGCTACTCCAATATTCTAGCATCCTTTCTAAACTAAGCACATTTGTGTATGCCTCATACACCTACCTATATGCCAATAGTTTATCCCCTATATTATACTGTTGCTCCCCACAACTGCACTGTTCCTAAACAGGGTACATCAAACGTGTGATAGTTCATCCAGCGTTCCTCAATGCCTCATTCAAGGAGGTGGAGAAGGAGTTGGCTAAGATGGACCTGGGAGAGGCCATCTTCAGACCCAGCAGCAAGGTATTTACTCATTCTACAACATTCATGAATTGTCTGAAACTATGTACACCATGCTCACTGGTCGACCCCAGTTTTTAACGATTGTTGTGAAAGGTTTTAGTCTTGCTTGCAAACGGTTGGTATGAGCAAGTTGTGAGTTGTGTATATAGAACGTACTCTGAACATTTACGGCCATGTACTGGTTGGTTAAGATAAAGACACAAGTTTGTATACGTATATGGCATATTGATTATACTACATGTCTTCATAGACAACCTCATTTCATTAGTTTGCTTGGCAGCCAAGTTTACTTGCCAGACTTTTGTGTAGACTAATCGAGATATTATGATACAAACCAACATAGACAAATCAAGTGAACATCAATGTAAATACAGTTTTGGAGGACACCAAAATGCACACAGCTACGTAGGAAGATAATGATGGTATTAATCGTGCAGTGCAGTGAATAGTAATATGTATGCACACTGACATTCCCACAGGGAACAGATCACCTAACACTGACGTGGAAAGTGGATGAGGACATTCTCCACCACATTGACATACAGGAGCAGGGGAAACCCAACCAGTTCAGTCTGGGGAAATCCCTCTGGATTGGCAGTGATGTAAGCATTACAGCATTTGGTCGTGTTACACGATTTGCTGGAGTGAAGCGAGACTACTTCCTTTAGCGTGTGATTTTTCTACTTTTGTGCCCAACGTCTCTGCCACTTGGTGACAGTGCACATGTGTAACATTTCACTCCATGACTTGTTGCACTCATATGTACATACATAATGTGTTCAGGGAAGGTACTAATGCAGGGAGGATCTGTGTACGCGACGTTCACGTTGTTGTGTTTTGTTTGTGTTGATTTTGCGATGCACACTGTTTTCCTTTCTCAGTAAAAGTTTCTCTCTTGAGAATTACTCTATATGCACATGAATCAAGTGTTGTGTAAAAGACCAAACATACTACTAATGCCTGCCACTCTGTATCATGCACAACAGGAATATGAAGACCTGGACGAGATTCTGGCGAGGTTCATCCAGCCCATGGCAGCCCTGGCCCGCGAACTCATCTCCCACAAGGTCTACCGGCCGGCAAACGGAGGAGACAAGAAAACACTCGAGAAACTCCTCTCCGACGAACGCAAGAAAAACCCAAAGAGAATTCCCTACTTTTTAAGCGCCTTGAAAAAGTCGCCGGGAAAGTTCTGCCTCGCCTATCAGCCTGGGAGTAAACAGATCGTGGAGTATTTCTCCATCACTCCCGATGGCTACCGCTATCGGAATCAGGTTCACCCTACCGTTAACGCCCTCATCACTTGGTTCAAAGGTCACTACCGAGACCCAATACCTCGCCCCGTTCCTTCGTCTCAGGCCATGCCTCCTCCGCAACATGCACACCACCGGGGGTACCAACACCCCGTGGCCTCCCCCATGTCCTCCACTCATGGGTCCTCCAGGACCGGGGGAAGTACTCCGTATACCCCACAGTGGCCGACGGCTACCCCACCACCCTCGCACTATGGAGGACACCAGGCCTCTTACTCCCAGCAAGGCGGGCACCAGTATAGTGGGTATAGTGGTGGGGGATATCAGCAGCAGCAGTATCGTGGTGGAACGGCAGGGGCTGCCTCATATGGAGCAGGAAGCTACCAGGGAGGGTATCAGGGGAGGAGTGGAGGAGGGGGAGGTGGGTGGGGCCAGCAGAATTGGACATCGGAACAGTCTTTCTCTCGTACCCCGGGCCAGACTCCAGCCTACACCCCGACACAGACTCCAGGGTCCTACATGGGGAGCCTGACAGGGACACCCCACTCCAGGAGTAGCCACCCCAGGCACACCCCAGCCTCCCCTCTTCAAACCCCTATTCTGGATGAATGATTAATTTTTGGCAGCATTATTATTGTGTAGTAAGTATGCGCATGCGCAACCCGAAGTGATTTTCGGCAGTGTGCAGTATGCATAGCTAGGAGACTAGAGAGCTACATAGGTGAAGGCAGTATTATTATACTAGCATAATTAAAACGATCGAGACGGTGAGCAGCAGCACACGAATGGTCTCCTGTAGCGATGATCCCGTGGGCTCGGGCGGCAGCGGCAGCGGCGGCGGCAGCGGTGGCAACAGCGGTGGAAACAGCTGCATAAGTTCTCCCCTACCGACACCTATGTCGATGATGACGCCCTCATTGGCTTCTAGCAGATCTGCAACGGCGTCTGCGTCGCAGACCCCGCCGATCGCGAGTCGCGCGGCTGCGACCCCCGCGGAATTCATAGCAGTCGGGGCAGCGGCTGGTGGATTGGTCATCGCAATAGTCATCGTGGCCATCTTAGTAATGTTTTGCTGCTTCAGGAAGTGAGTGTGCCTACTTTCCTAGTGGTGGGCCGTGCCCGTTGTTTCAGTAGAAGTGGTGGTGCGTGTGTATCTCTATATTTAGAGAGTGAAAGTAGCCATATTTGCCGTGTTGATACACGTCTGTACTGCAGACGGAAAGGCAAGTCCAGTGCAGCCGTCCACGCCTCTAACCTGGTGGTGTTGGAGTCAGGAGGAGAAGGAGACCTAGCAGAGGACGGGGAGCTAGAGATGGGCAACAAGTCCAGCGGTGGATTCTCTCCTGCAGACGGGAAGAAGCAGTCTGGTAGGTGGTTGCTTATTTGCCTCCTGGCATGTATGGTGCACTTGGCAACATTCTCCAGTTACCAAGTCATGCCTTACCCTGCATGTAATGTCAAATAGTTAGTTGGCTATGAGGGGTGATACCATACATGGCCAACAAGTTGTAATAGTACACCAGATTGTAGTGCAAGTGTACTGCACAAGCATGTACGCAGAGGTTGACCCCCCAGCCGGCATACAATGATGTTCTCTTTGTATGGTTGCACATGATCTAGTACTATACGTAGAAAGCATTCTTGTACAAGAAAGTGTACAAATCAACAGTTTGACGGTTATGTGCTACTGTCCCTCATGCAGTGAAGAAAGGAAAAGCTGAAGAAGGTGAAGGCGGTCAGCCCGCATCTGACAAGACTAATGGCACCGCAGCCACTGGGGATGCCCCTCAATCAGAGTCTGCTAACGAGACTACGCCAGAAGCCCAGATTGAAGCTTCAACTGGTCAACCCTCTGGGACAACAACTGCTCAAAAACCTGGTGTGTTCCTCTGAAGTTGATGTAAAAGGTTTTGTGTATGCTACCTAACGCGGTAAGCCTTGTGCTCGCGTGTGCTTTGGCCTTAGTTGCATTCATGTCTTAAGTGAAGGACATTAAGCTCAGTAAACACAGCAACCTTACATGTTGTAAAATAACGATTACACACAATGGAACTCTGCTTTGAGCCTGCTTTGTGTCCCTCTCTCACCCAGCAGAGGAGGAAGAGGGAGAGGCTCCGGTGGTAAAAGAGTACCAGGGAGAGATCAGCGTCTTAGAGGGTCAGCAGGCCATACTCCGAGTGGAGGTGAGTGGGGTACCCCACCCCACCATCACTTGGAGACTGGGGGAGAAGACGGTGGAGCCAGACTACGCCATAGAGATCGCCAAAGACGGAGCTCTCTGCTTTGTCAGTGTGGAGATGACCCACGCCGGCATCTACTGCTTCACGGCTAGGAACGCCAGTGGGAGTGAAGAGGGGAAGATTGAACTGAAGGTGCGCGGGGAGGGAGAGGAGGGGTGGGCTGCTGCGTCTGCTGCCAGGGAGGAGAGGACGGAGACGAAACCTGTGCCAGTGGAGGAGTTTGGGGAGCACGTGGCTCAGCTCCATGCCAACAACAACGCCGGGTTCTACAGAGAGTACCAGGTATAATGTACTGTGTAGACTAGTCAATAGTTTGTTGTGTCCAGCAGTGCGTACATGTTGAATAGTGTCTGCATGATGTATATACATTTATAATGTTGAGTGTTGTGTATGTACATGGTGTATGTTGAGTGCTGTCGTGGTGTACAGGATCTACCGTCAGGGGAAGAGGGACATACTGTGAACGTCTTCAAGATGCCCGGCAACCTCCCTAAGAACAGATTCAGGAACATTGCAGTCTGTAAGAATTAGTCATTGTGTGTGTGTGTGTGATTATGCTCTATGACCTAACAAAAGTAAGGCTTGACCCAAAGTACTGTAGAACTGTCAACGTAGTCAGGAAGATTACATGTCCATGTATAGCTGCCAGTCCCATGTTAGCTCTAGCCCTTTCAACTGTCCTCTGAAATAACTCCGATGTGATTGCTGTTTACAATACTTTAAAGCCCAGTAAGCCAATGTGCGCACATGCTTTTTCTCGGAACGAAACAGCAACAGCCAACTGTCAACATGATAATTATTCCAAGAACAGTATGTACGTAGGTACTGTGCACGTGTGAGAATACACCATACATCAATCATACCTTTGAAACAACTGTGTCTTGTTAAAATGAGTCCAAGTAACAATGGCAAAGTGCTGAAGATGTTGGTAAAGTGTAAAATGTTTCCTTATCCCAGTGTGTGTATAGACTGTGCACGTGTGAGAATACACCATACATCAATCATACCTTTGAAACAACTGTGTCTTGTTAAAATGAGTCCAAGTAACAATGGCAAAGTGCTGAAGATGTTGGTAAAGTGTAAAATGTTTCCTTATCCCAGTGTGTGTATAGATACAGATTGTAGTTGGATAAAACTGCCTTCTGTCTGGGGAGTGGAACTTTTGGTGATTTGAAACATGTAGAGTGTAAAATGTTTCCTTATCCCAGTGTGTATATAGAAACAATAAAACTACCTTCTGTCAGGAGTCAACTGTTGGTGATTTGAAACATGTAGAGTGTAAAATGTTTCCGTATCCCAGTGTGTATATAGAAACAATAAAACTACCTTCTGTCAGGAGTCAACTTTTGGTGATTTGAAACATGTAGAGTGTAAAATATCCCAGTGTGTATATGGAAACAAGTTTACCTTCTGTCAGGAGTAGAAACAGATTGTAGTTTACCTTCTGTCAGGAGTGGAACTTTTAGTGCAGTGGTGACTAGGAATCCTATGCACTAGCCCCACACAAAGCTGGTACACTCCTATATGTATATGTATATATATAAACCAAGGAATGTTCCATTGTGTCTTTAGTTGCATTGTTTATCGTAACAGATGACGACAACAGGATAGCCCTGGAGGCCCTACCCAGTGAGGTGACGGGAGAGGATGAGGACAGCGACTACATCAATGCCCACGTGGGAGACTACATCAATGCTTCTTACATTGACGTGAGTTTGATAGCTACTGGTTGCCTTGTGTGTGTGTGTGTGTGTCTGACACTGTTGGCTCTGATCTGCCCTGTGATTTTGTGGGCGAGTCTTAGTGTGTGTGTTTACCCATGCAGGGCTATTCTAAACCCAAGCAGTACATAGCATGTCAAGGTACAGTGCTCAACCATTGATGTGGTTTTAATCGTATGTTTTATTTCCTGTTTGACTCCCTCGCTTTTAATGTGTGAGAAACATTTTGAGAGAGTATCTTTGTAAATTTTAGTAAGAACTATGTGAAGGTTTGCAATTCCTCTGCAGTATAAATTGCTTACCTTTGTGGTTAATCATAACTTTTACAGAGGACCCCTAGAAAATTTTCCACCAATGCTCTCACTCACACTTTTCTGTCCTTCTCGAGCCGTAACATGACATTTCTCCTTCTCTTCCTTTCCCCGCTCCCTCTCCCCCCTCCCCCCTCCCCCCTCCCCCCTCCCCCCTCTCCACAGGCCCACTGTCAAACACGGTGGTCGACTTCTGGCGTGCCGTGTGGCAGGAGGAGGTGGGGTCAATCGTCATGGTGACCAACCTGACGGAGGGAAATAACGTCAAGTGTCATCAGTACTGGCCGTCCTCAGGCTCCGCCCACTACGGTCCGTTCACAGTCTCCCTGGCCGAGCAGCTCATCTTTGCCGACTACGTCATTAGGCATCTCCACATTTCAGTGAGCTAATCCTATCACTGGCCATTGCTTTAGGAATTTGATATCCTCTAAAAAGCACATGAGCGTTACATTGTGCCATCTGGATCAGGTTGAATTTTGTGGCTGTCTACTGGTATATAGTAGTATTGGAAGTGTGTGTTTTCTGTGAGATGTGTTCACATGGCACACCAAATGGTATGCATAATGCTCTGCACTTTCACCCCACGCAGCTGGGTGGTAAATCGAGGAAGGTGCTTCACCTGCAGTTCACCTCGTGGCCAGACCACGGAGTCCCCGAGTATGCCGGCCCCTCCCTCACCTACCTCCGCAGGGTGAAGGCCGAGACCAAGGGAGCCAAGGGACCAGCCATCTTCCACTGCAGGCCAGTCCCCTCTCCCTGTTACAACTACACTCTTGTATGTCCACGGTGTTTAGTCATGTTCAAAGTTATGTATGTGTGTGTTTTTGTAAGCAGCAAAACACGCCGTTACAAGTGTCGTAAATACAGAACGAGAGTTTGTGTTTGCAACTCTCTTAGGAGTTGTTTGTTTTGTGCAAAAACACTCTTTTAGTTAATATCTGGCCGCAGAATTGGTCAAAGTAAAGTAAAGGAAAAGAGAAAAAACCAACTTTTGTCAGGAGTCGAACTCCCAGTGTTGTGTGACTGGAAGTAAAGTGCACTACACACTGGGCCACAACTCTCAGACAAAAGCTGGTCTTCCCTCTTCCCTCTATGTATGTCTACTACCAGTAATCCATGCCTGCATACGTGACAACAAGGAGGTAGCAAGGCAACAAGGTAGAAAGCAAACAAATCAACTACACCCAGGACAAAAGGAAGAGCCGCCCTAAGTGGGATTTGAACCCACGACACTATGTACATGTATATACATACTCAATCATCCATCTACCAGGTCAACTAAGCTGCATATCAACTAGCATAGTGTACTATTATACTAGGAGTTTCATTAGTCGGGAGTAGTGTACATGTTCCGGTGACTACTACTGCAGTGCTGGTGTGGGGCGTACAGGGACCCTGCTCTCAGTGGACATAGCCCTGGAGCAGGCTGGGACGGAGGGAGTGGTGGACATCCAGGGAATCGTCTCCAGACTCAGGGAACAGAGGATGATGATGGTCCAGACACATGTAGGTCCCCTTTTTTACAGAACTGTGAACAGTTTATTTTTCACTCGTATTTAGAATTTTTCGCACATACTTAGAATCACCTAGAACATTACGGTATGTGCAGTGCCCATCAGATACAACTTACAAGGGCTGTTTTGTAGAGTTCACTTGAGACTAAATTTCTTGGTATGAGATGATTGTTCTCCTCTTCCACAGGATCAGTATGGATTCATCCACGATGCAGTACTGGAGAGTCTCATCTGTGGAGAGACACAGATCCCGGCCCAGAACCTGCCCAAGGTCATGGGGCAACTCGCCTCCACCGACTCCAAACACGGCAAGACTGGATATGAGGTCCAGTTTGGGGTAAGTACTGTATATAGCAAGTACAACACTAACCTCACCTAGGCTCTCTAAAACAGTACATTGAAAGTGTCCTTTATTCAGAGGTAGTATGATACACTAATGTATGTATTAGTATGGGGCAAAACCAATTGTCCCTTATAGAGAGGGGTTCTTTTTTTCGGAGGTTTCACTCTAATCCACCATTTTTCCTTTCTCTGTCTTTCTGCCAACTTGCCAGGTACTGGAGCAAGTCTCCCCCAAACCTCACGAGGTGCTGACCCTCACAGCTCAGAGCTTTCCCGACAAGAACAGAAGTATGGAGTTCCTACCGAGTGAGCTGCTAATAGTGGCTGGCCTTGCAGTGATGTTAATATGTATACCTTGCTGTTCTGTGGTGTTCCAGGTGAATTGTGGAAAGTTCCATTGCTTATGGAGCATCCTGGATATATCAATGCCACCTTTGCCAATGTAAGTACATAAATTAGTTCATACACATGAGTAAGCCAACTGCTGGTGTTGGTAAAGATCCACTTGTTCTAAGTGTGTTGTTTACTGTTAGGGCTACAAGCAACATCGAGGTTACATCATAGCCCAGGCCCCGATGGAGGGCACGTGTCGTGACTTCTGGAAGATGGTGTACGACAGGCGGTGTGGAGTCGTCATCATGTTGTCTCAGCTGATGGAACAAGACAAGGTGAGCTCATTCACCTCCCTCCACTCTCAGTGTGGGTGCATCTTCTCAGAGTAGCGTGAAAAGTGAAAACCCAATAAAATACACGCTTATGTTCTATGCTAATTCAAACATGACAAAGCAAGCCCAACTATTTTATATTTTGCATGTGATGACAAACTGGCAAGATGTCCTCAGACTTTACTGTACTAGCAACGATGAGTGCAACCTGGTATAATGCCCAGATGAACACAGACTAACACGTACAGTTTGAAAATACATAATGCGTAAATCTCATGCAGAGTAGTTCAAAAGTTGCACTTATTAATTAAGTCTTCTGCCTATATATACTCTCCAACCAGTGAGGAAGGAGCGTCTGGTAAAATTGACTAATTAAGCCACACGTGTTAGTCTGTGTTCATCTGGGCATTATACCAGGTTGCACTCATCGTTGCTCGTACAGTAAGGTCTGAGGACATCTTGCCAGTTTGTGCATTGATTTTTATTTGTCCAATATGCTATTGGTGTAGGAGGTGTGCTATGGGTACTGGCCTAGTAAGGAGGAGGGTAGTGGGGAAGAGGTCACCCATGGAGAGTTCACCATCACTGCGGGGAATGTCAAGTATGACAACATTGTTCAGAGGAACTTCACCCTTGTCTATAACAAAATGGTGCGTTCCGATTCATCCTGGTGTTAGCCTGCAAGTATCACTACTCTATGGGGAGTGAAAAGTACCAAAATACTTTTTTCTGGTTGTTTATGTCGATGTCAAATTTTCTGTCCAAAAGTAATTTGACATTAAATTGGGTCCATTTTCAAATTTGAGGGTCTAGCTTTTGTTTGTTAATGTCAGAAGATGGTCTGACTCCCCATCTGACATCATACTTTTCAAATTTGCGTCCCATCCTACTTTCTACCTCTCCCTCTCTCTGTACATCCTTCCCTTCCTCTCTCTGGTGTGTGGTCACACAGCCTCACCAGCAGCAGAAGGTGACGCAGTACCAGGTGAGTAGCTGGAGTGAGGAGGGGCTGGCCCAGGACAACAGGGCCCTCCTGGAGCTCATTGAGAAAGTGGCAGCAACTCAGAGGAGGACTGGCAACAATCCAATAGTTGTCCATGGAGTGTGAGTGGCTAGGGGCTGCTGTGTGGTATTAATGGTAATTACTGTTGTGACGTCATAAAATTTGGACACTAATTGCAGTATTGCTGTCCACTGTGTATGTTGAGAGAAAAGATTGACCTAAAAATGAAAACTGGGTTTGTATTGCTTTATTTGCCAGGTGTATATAGTATCGTCCAAAGCACCTACGGTTATTGTGCTCTCAGTGAGGCGGCATCCAACAATGAGAAAAGTTGAGGCCACCCTTATGATGTATAAGAGTCCGGTATGGTTGGGATGGTTGGCTGGCCACCCTTTCCACCACTTTCTTGAAGAAAATTTGCGCCACCCATTTTCTGCAATGCACACTCCCACTAAAGTCAATGTATTTGAGATGGTTGGTTGGCCTGTATAACCCTCCCACTCGCTTGCTAAAAGTACGAAAAGTTTAAGCTAACTTTCCCACAGTGGTACTAGAGGATTTTTGCACTGCACTTCACGAAAAATTTTGCCAAGCACAAGAGTTATTGTCATGCAGCGTGATATTCTTTATACTCAGTCTCTTCTTTGCTTACCCAGAAACACAGTGAGCCGATGTGGTCTCCTGGTTGCTCTCAGTAATGCCATAGACTGCTGTAAGACCGAGGGAACGGTGGACGTGTTCCAGGCAGTCAAGGCTCTGCGGATCCAGAAATCGGGCAGTGTTGTCACTGTCCAGCAGTACCAGTCCATTTTCTCCATCATGCAGCAGTTCCTCAACTCATTTGACATTTACTCTAACTTCAAATAGTCGCTGTAATGAACCATGATCAGTGTCTGTAGTACATCTGTACACGTCATTTCGATGAGTGTATGTTTGTGTACACAGGTTGTTTCCCTTTTAGTGGCATTGTTTCACTTTACATAATTATTATAATATAGCTTCTTTCTGCCGAATTTTAATGTCGTGTGCAAGCAATAGCACTTTAACTAACCCTTGTTCCTTCCTTTTTGGTGCTTTGAGCCATCCCTATTTTCCACTTGTTTGCATTATTTTTGGCTCGACTATGTACATGGCATTACTTGTGCACATTTGCAGAGAGGTTGACCCCAAACCAACGCTCTTATAGCAAGGCATCCCCCCATGGGTATTAATTGTGTAAGCCCCCGTCCTACCTCGCGTGGGACTAAGCACTTTAGAATTGGCGAGGTATATTATAGTATTGTCACCGTTGGCTGATTGCGCCATGCTGAGTTGGCAGTAAAAATGGTGTTGTTTTTTCCCCACTTGTTTCCATTATCTTTTAGTGAACAGCTCTTACGATTGTCACTCAGATTTGCATGGTATGTTGTAGGACTACCATGGACGGATTCTAACTTGTTGAAAGCAGTACAGCAGGAGGCAGTAGATTGTTACAGCACTCTGCACACAGACTCTCGCGAAGTTGCTCCCAGTGCAAACACTCAGCAAACGCAGGATAGCTTCTTGGAAAACTGCGTCGAGACTTGAGAGCGAGCGAGCGTGCTCCGCCGGGCGCATGCGCGCGGCTGCGGGCTCACGCGCGCATGCATGCACCTTGCGAGTCTCCTGGCTAGCTAGCGACCAGACGTGGCTCCGCGAGGCTAGCTGACGGCTAGTATATATAGTCTGGCGTAGCCAGGCAGGCTACGCCAGACTACTAGAAGCAAATGGCGTCGTTCATTTTAATATCTACCAGGAAGAGCTCCGGATGATTTGCGGTGGCTGTGCACACCTCCAGCTTTTCTGAGTCCCCGGTAAGGAGATAGCGGGTCTAAAGAAGATGAAATCGCGCGAGCGACTTCTCGCGTGGAGGACTGAAGGTGCGTATGGGTACATGTATAGCGCCCGTAGACCAGACTACTATACGGTATTGCCTAGTAGACTCGACTTGTGACGTGAGTTGACCCGCGCGCGCACGGCGCAGACGCTCTAAAAAAAACTCGGCGCGCATGCGCAGCGAGGGCTACGTTCTGTTCGTATCCACTAGGCGGCCCATGAGCGATACCAACGGCTTCAGAACTACGCCACCCTGAAAAATTAAATGTTTCTCCCCTCCCTCTCTGTGCTCATTTGACTAATCACCGGGGTCCAGGTTACTTAGCTATTACTTACATCCCGTACAGTGATAGCTTGACCTTGCTATTCACACCTTAGAGCAGTGTGCATGCACAACATCAATGAGCTTCTGCAAGTTATTCCCAGAATCAGTAGCTACTAACCTATAAATCTTTATCTTCAGCCAAGCCTGCAACCTTATGAACCAGATATTATTACTAGAAGGCAAATGCAGGGCATTTCTGCACGAGCCATCCTAGCCTATTTAGAACTTGGACCTTTGAACCACGAAGATGGAAACTGAGGTATATACAGCCTCTGTCAGGCACCAAAGAGTACAGCAAATGCTGTCCAATGAACGAGGGGTCTCTGGCTGGCTAAATTGCACATCGAGGATCGAGGGCTCTAGATAAGGCACCGTGTATAAAGTATTGACGGCACAGTATAATACGGTCGTTAGCTAAGGCAATATTGAAATCTAAAGCTAATTGGACGACGTAGTACGGTGACAAATCGCGCCGTTCGGACCAATAGGTTCGCTCGCTCCCACTCACCAATTATCTTCTCTGACAAGTCAGTCTTTCTGGTACTTTATTTGCATTTTCCTGCAGCTTCTTCTAATCCACGTACTTTGAAATGTGACGGATTAGTGCATTTTGCAATTAGTATTAGTTCTGACACGGGAGCGCAATTTGCTTATAATTACTTCAAATAACTCACTAGTCATTGTACTCACTGGATCTGAACATGTTTTTCTAATAGTATGCACTTACACAGTCACAAAACAGAAAGACTAACAACGGTGATGGATGGATATACTAACTGTTTCTCTTGCGTTTGCCGCAAGTGGTCAAAGAACACAAGAGCAACATGATTATACAGTTTGTGTATTCAAAAAATCAAGTACTGTTTTTACTTCAGTGTTTGATGTTTGGTCTAGTGCTCTGACTTTTATTTCTGTGTGACTAAAGCTAAATATGACATCAACACCCCGTTTCTTATCACCATCAGGAACAGGCATATCAACAGTAATCTGTCCAATTTTAGTAACTGTATGCCTTGGCTCACATTTGCCTATTCCCCATTCTCCGGTCACATAAAAGACATCTGTGTCTTGTGAGCTGTAAAACTCTATCAGCACATTTTTCTGGTTATGGGAGGCTGGGTTGAATGTCATCGAAAATACTTCTCCTTTTCCAACAATATCACCTTTTTCTACCACAGTGCAAAATATATTTTTGCATTGCAATTTATTGTCATCATCTGTCCACATATACTTTGGATCATGTAAACCATGCTGAAAGCGGGTATTTGCTTGTATTCCATATGTAGCATCTACCTTGCGGCATTCTATCACACTTGGGTTCATTTTGAACAGTGCTGCACCCCTTGCTACAGCATATGGATGATCTACTGGAACAATGCATTTAATATCTTTTTCTTTCAATCGCTCAGTAACCAATTTTTTTATATAGTGCGATCCTCCGAAGCCACCTGCCAGATATATTAATCTAATACTGCCTACTTTCTCAATAACTTCATCAATGCATGCGATAATGCCGTTAGCAGTTTTTTCAAAGAGGCTGGTCATCAATTCACGAGATACTCGTAAATTAAGGCCTACTAATTGTATAATAGAATCACTCTTCTCAAGACCACGCTTGATATTATTTTCATATGTTTCAACAAATTCAGGGAAAAGGTGGACCGAACCCATAAATTTTACACGTTTTCCAAATAATTTTTTTATATCTTCAAATTTTTGATTCATTATCGCACTCAAAATAAAACGGTGTTTTGAATTTACGACTTGATCAGAGGTCAAAACAAAACGTCTAAACCCAGAGTCGTCCACCAATTCCTCGAGATATCTCATAAACTCTTTATTAATCTGTGTTCCACCACAGTCATTTCCAGCTGGTGGAAGAATAACCTGAATGTGTGGCTCTGGATCTCTAACAAGGCGGTGAGCTGAAATGTCCACTGTCCCACCTCCAATATCAACAACAAGGTAATTATCAGAATTTTCATTAGTACTTTCATTGCTTTCACTGTTACAGGAAGACTGCATTTTAGACTTATATTCACAGAATATTGCTGTACATTCAGGTTCAAGTGCTAAAGATAACTTTTCTGGTTTCTCTTCTTCAATACGCTCGGGAGTATGGGTATGTGCTTCTTTCAATGCTGGGCAGCGTTCCCTGGAGCATAAACCTGCCTGTAACATTGAAGAAGCACTATTTCAAACACAACTGCAAGTATTAGAGTATAATCAGCCAGATCAATAATCGGACGCTGATTTTAGTTACTCTACATGCACACTACCGACCTAGTCTATCTCAACCCTTGTATATACAGTGGCTTTTTAGGGCCACAAATACCACCGTAGCGAATTTCTGACACCATTCTCTAGCAACTTTATTCATAGCAATGTCCATTCTATGGAAATTGAGGGCATTGAGGGATACTTGCCATTCAGCCATGCAGCCTTTGGGATGGGGACCAAAGAAGAAACATGGATGAAATGGTGGGAAAGTGTGGAAAGAAACTTTACCTACAGAAGAAAGCGAAGGAAAGGTAGATGTGAACGTCCCAAGTCGGATTGAAGGACAGTAGCTACGTTTGCCTAACCAGTTGCTAATCATGAATAGCACTTGCTCATTAAAATAATAAGGATGCCATTTAATGGATGAATGAGTGGGGGTGACATGTCTACCAGAAGAAGCAAATGCTGCTGCAACACCAATGACAACCTTAATCTAGAACTCTAGAACTCTAGAACTAGAAAATTGGAACTCTTCAAAACCTATAATGTTTGGAGTAGATGATGCTGTGTTGGTCTGTAAATTAGAGAGAATTATACTGGGGTGTAGCTTTAATTTGTTCTTGGTTAACTTCGACTTACATTCTGAGCCAACTTGTGACTTCTATATAATATTGCATCCTGAGTTCACTTTCCAAGTTCCACTTAGTGTTGCATTCTTCTGGAACACCTGGCTTTACCCCCATTTACCTTATGCGCAATAAACGCGGCGCCTGCTCGCGCGCTTGGTGGCCCGAACCGCACGAAGCTTTGTCAAAAAGGGGGTTTCCACTGCAACCAAAGAAACTCCCCTGGATCCGCCACTGCTTTGGGTAGATGTATAACTACATATGGGCCCGTAGACTATTGCTATAGTGTGTTTTGAAGGCATAGAAAGTCACTCTCGCCGAGTTTTGTGGCGTTTTGCAAGCGGATATTATACATTCAAATCAAGCGGAGATTTTGTAAAGTTAAAACGCCCTCATCATGGATGGTACGAAACTTGCATGGGCTCTAAAGAGGGTAATCCAGTAATGTTATGGGTTTTCCAGAGAGCAAGAGAATTCTGAAAGCTTTCGCGCATGAGACTCCCGTCCATTTCCGTAAGTGTGCTGATGAGTGAGTAAATAAGCCAAAGTTAATTATCAGAAAACTTTTGTGCCTCATATCCTAGAGTAACTCTCGTGACCAGAATCTTAAACGTGTAGTCCGCGTATAAAAAGGGGCGTGCCAGGCAAAAATCGATTAACTTTAGCGCACACTGTGACAAAATGGCGGTGTTCAAACTACTGTCTCTTCACTTCCTGAGCCGCTGGCTACCACGCATCCGTTTCCACGCACTAAAACACGCTGCGTTTGTCCTAATAAAAGCCTCTCAATGCTAAATCAGCGCTTCTTGCGCTGAACAGCGCTTCTTGTGCTACTCGCACATGAATGTCTGAACCTCCAGCGGCCAAGAAACCGAGGGCCGGCGGCCCACGTTTGACTCTCCAGCTAACGTTTGGCAACACTGACACAATGGCAGCGTTCAAGGAGCTCTAAAGTCCGCTCTCGCTCCTGCGGGAGCACCTCCATTGAAGCCGGTCGAGCTAATGGCGAAGCTCTTTGACATAGCTGATATTAATTATCTTGTTCTTTCCATCAGCAGAGTCCTGAGGAACTAGCCCTAGCCCTAGCCCTCAGCAGAGTCCTGAGGAACAGGAGGAAGACTGAGCCATGCAGCCAGCTTGCACGCACTTCACTATACGTATTATATAGACGTGTCACGCGCGTGCGCACATTTTATTTACCAATCCGTGTTACGCACCGCAGCTATGTTGTTCCAGCGTTGCGCTAGCGGTACAAACGAAGGCTCCATACACTTGCCTTCTGGTACGTTTTTGAATTTTACCGCCGCCATGTTTGTGCCAGGCACCGCCCCTTTTATACGCATGCGCACGGAGGCGACTCCGCCTCTGCAATTGCGCGAGCTGTGAGCGCGCAAGAAGCGCTTAGCATATATTTTATCCGCGGACTATATACACGTTTAAGGTGCAGTGAAGGCATCTATTAGAGCGTCGGTAGACGCTCTATATAGGGATGGCACAGGTGAAATCTCACGTGATCCGTAGTGGTCGATGATATTGGCAAAACCTTAACGGCCATTTAACTGCGTTGGCTGGATGGAAACCCCCGCATTTATACGACAAGGGAGGCTCGCCTCGCTTGCAAACAAGCATGTTGCCTACGCACAATGAAGACGCTACCAGTGAAGAGCGGAGGAAAGTCAAGTGACTAGCTACAGTCTCTCGTAAATACACTCAAGTCCGTTCTATATAGGAGGCCCAGTCTTGCAGCGAACGTCTACTGCTCCTGCAGTCCATGTTACGTTCGCAAGTCGCTGCCTGTTCCATTTTGACTTGTGCCTCAGTCTACGAACGTAACTAATAAGCCTGGGCGCGTAAGAGCTAGAAGGCCGCACAAACGTGACGTGAGGGTGTGTGCGTATTGTTTGCGCATGCGCAATACAGTTACCCGGATGTGACGCCACGACAATGAAAAATGAGACAATGAAAGTGCAAACCCTCGGCGAACTGCGCATGCGCGATACCGCTAATGGATGGGCTGGGCTATTGGCGTTTACTCGCGGTCTCCCGCTAGTAGCTCGCAGAGAGTCTGACACGGGCTAGCTACAGTAGTAGATAGCACGCGGGAGTCGATACACACCCTTCGCTGTGGCTTCTTGTGCCTCCAAGGTATATACACAGAGCAAGCGGATCAGTCCAGCATACTGCGTCTAATACACGCATGCGCACCGCTTATTGATGGGTTGGGCCACGCAACGCTGTCCGCGACCGTGCCAGTTTGTCGCTCTCGAACGCAGTCGTTTTAGCAAAATCGCCATTTTAGTTTTCTAGCCCATGTACCGCTAAAGCTGTTGGTATCGTTCATAAGCCGCCTCGTTGCCTGTAGTGCGAGAATAGTCGTAGACAGACAGACGCACAGAACGACTACAGTAACCCTCGCAGCGCATGCGCGCCGAGGGTTAATTATGGCACAATAATTGCCGAGCGCGTTAGCGTGAGGCAACTACTCCGACGTACGTGTCGTCACGCTTAAGAATGTCAATTAGTCACGCTTAGGAATGTCAATTAGTCACCAAAAGGAAGTGTAACTTCCGTCATTCGTAGGAAGTCTAGCTTCACGCGCAGTCAGTAGAGCGCGCGCACGAGCGGCCTCAGTCGGACTGTTTACGCATTGGCTGGCAGGCGCGAGGCAAATATGCGCGTGCGCATTCCTAGTAATAATACTAGGAGAATGCTGAACATTGTTGGCGAGCTGGAGCGACCCAATGAGCTTGGGATATGCTCGCGATGTTCGGGCTGCATAACGTGCCGTCAGCGCATTCGTGAAGCAAGACAGAGAGAGCTACCTGTCGCCGTTAGACGATTGCGAAATTTTATTCCGTTTCGCGCGCGAATTTAGAATCACGTAAACCTTTCGGTATGTACAGTGCCGTGGAGCCCGTCACATATATAATTATTATTATTATACATATAGAAAATCCGCTAGAACAAACGACTAGGTTGGCTCGCTCCCGCTCGCATATACAGTCCAATGTAAAAAAACTAACTTTATATCCAGCTTCTCTCATCATTTGCTTTCCTTTTGCTCTCCAAATAGCAGGCACAGTGATAACCCAATCAAAGTAAGTGGCTGTCACAGGTAAACCTGATGCCTGGAGTACTCTGATCAACTCATCCTTTAAGTATTTTAGTATGTGGGCAATTACTTCAACTAGATAGTACTCCTTGTCATTACTGGCTTTCACCTTCCTCTCTCGATTTACTGACTATAGGGAATATATTTAGGCCTATATAACATCAGCTGAGCACACAACATTAATTTTGATAACCTGATCGTGTTGCATATCCATCTTTAACTGCTCAAAAAACGTATATTCCAGTTGATTGCCAATCCTGACAGTATTTCCATAAATTTCGCGTGCATCTGCACCGAATGCTTCAACTATACCGTCCGTGTTGAAAAGTATGGCAGTCGGAACACGAAAAAAAGTGTCAAATGGTAGCAAAACAGGCCCGTGCTCGCCCATTTCACCAGGTGCGGCATATGCTACGGAGCAATTAACTGTCCCGAAGTCGATCGCAGCGATGTACTCAGAGCATTCTATGTCGGTATCAGTACGAACAATGCGCTGTGCGACTTGACACTTATTAGATGTGATACGAGGACCATCGGCCATCGATTTTCAGGTGGTATACGTAGCTAGTTACGATGCTAAACACAACTTGGGCTGCACTGAGGGACAAAACTAATGCGTGGAAGTTATGAGGCACGGAGATAACCCGGATGTGCATGTGAGCGCCAAAGAGCAGGTCGTTCCACCGGGCAAAACTCTACCCACTTCCGTCGCAGCGAGGTCTGAGGAACCATTTCCACAACACTGCCGATAAGTTAAACGAGCACGAGCACACTACGCCGTAGTCCTAGTCAAAGTTCACTATATTATACTACTAGCAAATGAGCGGCTTGATCACAAAGATATGGGGTTTTTTTCACCCTACTCCTACAGAAGAGCACCAGACAGACCGTGGTAGTCTTTCTACATCAAATGACTCTCCAAGGTGATAAATTATTTGTATAAACTGGAAAATTATTTGATCATTATGTTATATAAGTGGCCTTGAGGCAGTAATCTGTGAGGATTACACAACAGAACTACAGTAAGTAGTAGAAGTGCATAATAATGGTGAATGATTTTATAAATACAACAGGCAAAATCAATGGACAAGAGAAGAGATTATGCATTATACAGAAAGGTGATGCTGATTGTGAAGTCTATGTGTTCATAAAACTTTAAACTAATCTGGCACTCACTGACAACTACTCCGGGTTGTATTCGCGTACGTACGTACGTACGTGTCCGTCACGCTTAAGAATGTCAATTAGTCACGTTTAGGAATGTCACTTCCGTCATTCGTAGGAAGTCTAGCTTCAGCCGTGCGCGCAGGAAGTCTGGCTTCGCGCGCAGTCAGTAGAGCGCGGAGAGCGCGCACGAGCGGCCTCAGTCGGACTGATTACGCTCTGGCCCCGCCCTGATCTCATGACACAATCCATAATTGAAATCCATAATTGAAATCCTTCACTGTTAAAGCTCAAAGATGATAACTTCCTTAACATCATTGGTGGGTCTTGGGTTATTTAAGAAGATGTAGTTCACGGAAAAGATATTTTTATGCCGGTCGGGAAATACAGGCTATGATGATGAAAAACCCTTATCATAGCCCCTCGCATCAATTAATGTAGCACAAAAGTGATGATAAAATCCTCAAGCCTGTAGCTACACTCATGTAACCAACATTTTTATACAGTCAGAGGCAAGAAATTAAAGTCATTAATGGAAAAATGTAAGCATCCTAATCCCTTGCTGATCTACATTTGACAAGGAAATATGCTCATATTATTTACACAGGGACTCAATACTTCAGGAACTTCAGTGGTTAGCTACAAATTACACAATCCACAATTCAAATCCTTATCTGTTAAAGCTCAAATATTATAACTTCCTTAACATCATTGGTGGGTCTTGGGTTATTTAAGAAGATGTAGTTCACGGAAAAGATTTTTGTTGAGCATGCAGCCTAGCTATTATATTGTTGTATTTTTATGCTGGTCGGCTATGATGATGAAAAACCCTTATCATAGCCCCTCGCATTAATTAATGTAGCACAAAAGTGATGATAAAATCCTCAAGCCTGTAGCTACACTCATTTTTTTTATACAGTCAGAGGCAAGAAAGTAATGGAAAAATGTAAGCATCCTAATCCCGTGCTGATCTACATTTGACAATGAAATATGCTTACACAGGGACTCAATACTTCAGGAAATTCAAAGGTGACCAATTATTGCCCAGTTTTAGTCACCAACAGATTTTCTATAATATTAGGACAAATATGGAATGTGGACATTTATTCAAAAGAGTAGAGGATTGCCTTACTGCTTCACATGAAAGTATGACCTGGCAACAAAAGTAAGTATATAAACAGTGTCTCATCTCTGTAAGAGGAGAACTAGAGATAGAGCAGTCACTTGAAAGATTATAGAGAGGAAATACTTGCTATGCCTAGTAATTTCCCACAATAATAATTATGAATTAACCAACAATGTTCCTGCTATTATAGGAAAGACGTTGAACTAAAAACTTGTAAGCAGTCAATTCAGAGTGAAAAAGAAGAAAATAAAAGTCTTAAGAGAGAGCTACAACAGTAAGCATAATTATATTTACCCTTGATTTTACTCAGTTGGCTGTATATTATAGGAAAGAAGAGGAACTTACTAGTTTGAGGTAAGAGAAATTAACTACTGCCTCACACAGGAAGAGTGTCACATGAGCAAGTATTTTTTAAGCAAAGCACTTGCTGTTTAGGAAAGAAGCAGAAACTCGGGAGAAGTTACATCAAAGATTACAGAACAAACTTGAGTGTGCTAGAAAGACAATACAAGAGTAAGTGGACTCAAATTTATTGACCAAAAACTGACTGTTTTTTAGGCAGGATGAAGAACTAAAAATAAAAGAGCAGTCACTAAAGGAAAAAATGGAAGAAAATGGCCGTGTTAATAAAGACCTACAACTGTAAGTAATACTTGGTATTATATAGGAAGGATTATAAGAAGTCACTACAAAGTTTACAGGATGATAAACATCGTATTACAGCTTCATATGATGAGAGTTTAAAACAGTGAGTATTTATGGACTCACATTAATAGTCAATATTAACCAACAACTTGCTGCTTTCTAGGAAAGAATCTTTTAAGCAGTCACATCAAGTTTTACAGAATCGTATTACTGCCCTACATGAGGAAAGTACCAAGAAGCTACAACAGTGAGTTTGTACTTAAAAAATAGTTAATAGTGACTGACAAATTGCTCCTTTCTAGGAAAGAATTGGAACTAGAATCTTTTAAACAGTCACTCTGACTTCGAGTTTAGAGGAAAGAAAGATCTGTATTACTAACTGCGGCCTACATGAGGAAAGTACCAAGAAATTAAAACAGTGAGTACTTAGTTAAATAATAACCGATTACCTTGTTGCTTTATAGGAAAGAAATTGAATTAGAATCTTGTAAGAAGTCTCTTCAAAGTTTAAAAGATGAGTAACGGATCGTATTATATGACAGAGTATCCTATGACGCTACAACAGTGAGTATGTATATTATACTTAATAATATAATTATAGTTAGTAGTGACTGACAACTTGCTGCTTTTTAGGAAAGAATCTGAACTAGAATCATTAAATCAGTCACTTCGAGGTTTACAGGAAGAAAACATCGTATTACTGCCCTACATGAGGAAAGTACCAGGAAATTAAAACAGTGAGTACTTAGTTAAATCTATAACCAACCGATTCCGCTTGTTATGGGGCGATTTATAGGAAGAAATTGACTGAGAATGCTTGTAGAAGTCGCTTCACAGTTTAAAAGATGATAAGATCGTATTACTAAGGAAACCGTACCATGAATGCTACGGACAGCGAGTGTAGTGTGTACGTATTCTACTTAATATATACAATTATAGATTCGTAGTGAGCATGACACTGCTGCTTTTTAGGAAAGAATCTGAACTAGAATCATTAAATCAGTCACTTCGAGGTTTACAGGAAGAAAAACATCGTATTACAGCTCTACATGAGGAAAGTACCAAGAAACTACATCAGTAAGTCATACAATATTATAGTCAAGCAACCAATAAACTTGCTACAATTTTTAGGAAATGAACAGGTAATTAAGCGTCAGTTTCGAGTTACAGAATCATCTGAGCATTACAGAGGCAGGAGTACTCACAAACTACGAGAGTAAGTACTTAGTAACCGACAACTTTGCTGCTTTAATTAGCACTAAGCTACAACAGTAAGTACGTGTGCAGTTTTTTCATACCACCACACTGCTGTCAAACAATACATTGTAAGCATGCCTTTACACCAAATACAGGCAAATACGAATGATATTGTTTGTATACTTTTCTACACACTGGCTGTATTATAAGTTAGCAATGGCGATCGCGGCCCTTGAAGATACACGTATGGTTCGTGATAGTGCTACAAACGCGAACCAGAATTGTGAGCAGATGGTAAATTATATGAGAAGCTACAGTAGCATAAATCAGAAACTGGAGATATTTATACTTATTGTCAAAAAGAATTCAACATACAATGTATCATAGTAGCCGAACAGAAGAGAAACAGAGGGCAAGAGAAAGAGCAGACTTAAGGTAATGATAAATGCAGATACTTATCTAATAGTAGACTGAGTTATCTGTAGTAAGGTCACAACAGTGAAACAGTTCGAACAGCAACATTATGGCAAACATGACGAGGTGAATTTGGAGTATAAGGAATTGTGGATTGTTCCTACCATAATTTTGCTGGACCTTGAACGACATTATAAAGAAGAATTTAATGCTAAGGCAGTTCTCACGGAAATATTTGTTGTAAGTTAACATAGTTATCAAAACAATAAATAACTTTTCTCCGACATCAGGAAAGTTACAGGTGTAGCAAGCAACACTTGACAGGATTAATCCTTGATAAGTTGGAGGAGCTCTATACAGTGCATGATCTGAAAAATGATCCAGAGAAGAAGGGTGAATTGGAAAACGTGAGCCGTGCATATGGCATGCTATTGCAATCATCAAGAGCAAGGGAAGATGAAGTGCAAAGAAAGGCAGTTGCTCAGATTTGTGAAAAGGTATTGTGTTTCGTACTATGAAGAATAATTATCTTCCATCACTTGCAGGTTATGGGGACGATTAAAAATTCTCATCCAGAGTGTGCTGATCTACAACTGGAAGATGTCGTAGTGGTGGCATGGAAATGTGTGACTCAGTCTTGCCCTATCATTGCTTGCCAACCTGACAAGTATGACAAAAAACTACATGACATGACTGATAACAAAGACTGGAATAAAGACAATAAAGATACACTTCAACTCTTCTATGCTAAACCAGTCATGTACCGTAGCTACCATGGTTTTGTACTAAATAGAGGTTTGGTTAGATATCGTCAAACCTGAAAATTTATACATCTTTTATTGCACAATTTTCTCCATTGCATAAATCTTTTTCTCTACACAGTGATAGAATTTAGCCATTGATTGCACACTATCTTAATTAAAACCCAATATTGAGGTGGCTAACAGGAAACCAAATTTTAAAGCAGAGGGTATACTATATCAAACAACGAATGTGGTGTGACGGCTGTTTCATGAGCATATGTAATATAACACCTCTCCTGTGTACATACTATAAACCCCTATAGTGTAATGTCATTGGCGTGGTCCCATGAGTATCAGTGTAGCACTCACAGAGAGTAACACTCTATGAAGTATTGTGTGTGACACAATAATTTGCAGAGCCAGACATGTGAATGTGGACTATTCCCTTCTGGGTTATTAACACGACAGTGTAATCCCTCAAGGGTGTAGACAACTCTCTAATGTGAACACAGCTACAGACAGTAATCCTGGCTCTTCGTAGCAGACAATTGATTTTCATAATTGCATATTGCACAATTTCTCCATTGCATAAATCTTTTTCTCTACACAGTGATAGAATTTAGCCATTGATTGCACACTATCTTAATTAAAACCCAATATTATTAAGGTGGCTAACAGGAAACCAAATTTTAAAGCAGAGGGTATACTATATCAAACAACGAATGTGGTGTGACGGCTGTTTCATGAGCATATGTAATATAACACCTCTCCTGTGTACATACTATAAACCCCTATAGTGTAATGTCATTGGCGTGGTCCCATGAGTATCAGTGTAGCACTCACAGAGAGTAACACTCTATGAAGTATTGTGTGTGACACAATAATTTGCAGAGCCAGACATGTGAATGTGGACTATTCCCTTCTGAGTTATTAGCTAACACAACAGCGTAATCCCTCAAGGGTGTAGACAACTCTATAATGTGAACACAGCTACAGACAGTAATCCTGGCTCTTTTCAGCAGACAATTGATTTTCATAATAATGGCTTTCCCACTACTAGTAGTTTAGTTGTGCATACTATTATACGTACACGCATGAGCTGGTACCATTATTCATATTAGCCTAGTAGACCTAAGCTGATAGCACAATCACGGTAGTGGGTATATAGGTGTTAACCATTATTATTGTGTGTGGCACAAAACTCATCTGCTACAAACTGGCAGGGTTATTTTCTGCAGCTGGTCATCACACTAGAGGGTTTGGTACACCCTTGAGTGATTACTGTTAAAATGCACCACCTGACATGTGAATGCACCATCATAGACCATTACCTCTGGGTTATTAACACAACAGCGTAATCCCTCAAGGGTGTAGCCAACTCTCTAATGTGAACACAGCTGCAGACAGTAATCCTGCCTCTTTGCAGCAGACAAATGACTTTCAAATAGCTTGCCCACTACTATATAGCGTATTGTAGTTGTGCATACATACATACACGCATGAGCTGGCACCATAATTCTTATTAGCCTAGTAGACCTAAGCTGATAGCACAGTCACAGCAGTGGGTAGGTGTAACCATTATTATTGTGTGTGGCAGGCACAAAACACGTCTGCTACAACCAGCCAGGGTTATTGTTTGTAGCCGCCATCACACTAGAGGGTTTGGTATATACACCCTTGAGTGATTACTGTGTCACCTAAAAAGGAATAATTATGTCAGGCTATATGCAAATTATCATTTGCAGCAACACTTTTCATGAATCTCGTAACTTAACTTCAGTTCAAAAGAGACACGTCACCAATATGTGTGTCGTATTTGTTATAGCTGGTGTGCATACTTTGATATGCAGCCAGTATGTCGGCGATTCAAGGAATGCCAGATGACTTGAGGGAGGTCGTGACTGCAGCTGTTAGAGGGAGGCCGAGAGAGAGAGAGGAGGAGGAGGAGGGAATAGCAATCGGAACGAATATACATTGATTGCCTAAAATGCACGAACTATGTGAATGTACCATAATAGACCATTCCCTCTGGGTTATTAACACAACAGCGTAATCCCTCAAGGGTGTAGCCAACTCTCTGAACACAGCTGCAGACAGTAATCCTGCCTCTTTGCAGCAGACAAATGACTTTCAAATAGCTTGCCCACTACTATATAGCGTATTGTAGTTGTGCATACATACATACACGCATGAGCTGGCACCATAATTCTTATTAGCCTAGTAGACCTAAGCTGATAGCACAGTCACAGCAGTGGGTAGGTGTAACCATTATTATTGTGTGTGGCAGGCACAAAACACGTCTGCTACAACCAGCCAGGGTTATTGTTTGTAGCCGCCATCACACTAGAGGGTTTGGTATATACACCCTTGAGTGATTACTGTGTCACCTAAAAAGGAATAATTATGTCAGGCTATATGCAAATTATCATTTGCAGCAACACTTTTCATGAATCTCGTAACTTAACTTCAGTTCAAAAGAGACACGTCACCAATATGTGTGTCGTATTTGTTATAGCTGGTGTGCATACTTTGATATGCAGCCAGTATTTCGGCGATTCAAGGAATGCCAGATGACTTGAGGGAGGTCGTGACTGCAGCTGTTAGAGGGAGGCCGAGAGAGAGAGAGGAGGAGGAGGAGGGAATAGCAATCGGAACAAATATACATTGATTGCCTAAAATGCACGAACTATGTGAATGTACCATAATAGACCATTCCCTCTGGGTTATTAACACAACAGCGTAATCCCTCAAGGGTGTAGCCAACTCTCTGAACACAGCTGCAGACAGTAATCCTGCCTCTTTGCAGCAGACAAATGAGTTTAAAATAGCTTGCCCACTACTAGCGTATTGTAGTTGTGCATACATACATACACGCATGAGCAGGTACCATAATTCTTACTATAGGAATGCGCACGCGCATATTTTGCCTCGCGCCAATGCGTAAACAGTCCGACTGAGGCCGCTCGTCTGCGCGCACGGCGGAAGCTAGACTTTCTACGAATGACAGAAGTTACACTTCCTTTTGGTGACTAATTGGCATTCCTAAGCGTGACTAATTGACGACACGAGAATACAACCCGCCTCACGCTAACGCGCTCGGCCTAGTAGACCTAAGCTGATAGCACAGTCACAGTAGTGGTAGGTATGTGTGGCAGGCACAAAACTCGTCTGCTACAACCAGCCAGGGTTATTGTCTGTAGCTGCCATCACACTAGAGGGTTTGGTACCATCTTGAGTGATTACTGTGTCACCTAAAAAGGAATAATTATGCCAGGCTATATGCAAATTATCATTTGCAGCAACACTTTTCATGAATCTCGTAACTTAAACTTCAGTTCAAAAGAGACACGTCACCAATAGCAATCGGAACGAATATGATTGCCTAAAATGCACAAACGATGTGAATGTACCATAATAGACCATTGCCTCTGGGTAACACAACAGCGTAATCCCTCAAGGGTATAGCCAACTCTCTAATGTGAACACAGCTGCAGACAGTAATCCTGCCTCTTTTCAGCAGACAAATGACTTTCAAATAGCTTGCCCACTACTAGCGTATTGTAGTTGTGCATACATACATACACGCATGAGCTGGCACCATATTATTAGCCTAGTAGACCTAAGCTGATAGCACAGTCACAGTAGTAACCATTATTATTGTGTGTGGCAGGTGCAAAACTCGTCTGCCACAACCATCCAGGGTTATTGTTTGTAGCCGCCATCACACTAGAGGGTTTGGTACACCCTTGAGTGATTACTGTGTCACCTATATACGCCATATCTCTGGAACGCAGTCGTTTCGGGAAAATCTTCTCGTCGTTCACAACCCGTTGGTGCCACTCATTGGCCGCCTCGTAGCCTGTAGTGCTAGAACTCGCGCGGACGGACAGACAGAACGACTACTGTAACCCTCGCTGCGCATGCGCGCCGAGGGTTAATGAAAGCGCGGCGCATTGTGACGCGCACTCGTAAGTAAATTCTTGCGCCACCACTAATTGATGGGCTGGGTTTAGTACTCGTGCTCGTGGTCTATAGCTCGCGCGCCGTCTGACGCGGGCTAGCATGCGAGAGGCGATACACGCCCTGCGTTGTATCTTCTGGTGCCTCCGAGGTATAATACGCAGAGCACGCGGATCGATCAGACCGTGGTAGGCTATCCCGTCCGTTGTGTACATATTGGCTTTTTCGCGCTCTAGCTTTGCGACGGAGCAGTTTTAGAGAGAAAACCGTTCGAAAAATCTGCCCCTTAAGTAGGTCATATCCTTTGTGAGACGAACAAACACTCGAGAAGTGAGATGTAGAGTAACAGACTCGACACACACACACACAGACCCAACTACCGTACCCTCGCTGCACATGCGCGCCGAGGGTATTAAGCCACACATGTTAGTCTGTGTTCATCTGGGCATTATACTAGGTTGCACTCATCGTTGCTAGTACAGTAAAGTCTGAGGACATCTTGCCAGTTTGTGCTTTGATTTTTATTTGTCCAATATGCTATTGGTGTAGGAGGTGTGCTATGGGTATACTGGCCTAGTAAGGAGGAGGGTAGTGGGGAAGAGGTCACCCATGGAGAGTTCACCATCACTGCGGGGAATGTCAAGTATGACAACATTGTTCAGAGGAACTTCACCCTTGTCTATAACAAAATGGTGCGTTCCGATTCATCCTGGTGTTAACCTGCAAGTATCACTACTCTATGGGGAGTGAAAAGTACCAAAATACTTTTCCTGGTTGTTTATGTCGATGTCAAATTTTTATGTCCAAAATCAATTTGACAGTAAACTGGGTCCATTATCCAATTTGAGGGTCTAGCTTTTGTTTTAATGCCAAAAGATGGTCTGACTCCCCATCTGGCATCAAATTTGCCTCCCATCCTACTTTCTACCTCTCCCTCTCCCTCTCCCTCTCTCTGTACATCCTTCCCCTTCCTCTCTCTGGTGTGTGGTCACACAGCCTCACCAGCAGCAGAAGGTGACGCAGTACCAGGTGAGTGGCTGGAGTGAGGAGGGGCTGGCCCAGGACAACAGGGCCCTCCTGGAGCTCATTGAGAAAGTGGCAGCAACTCAGAGGAGGACTGGCAACAATCCAATAGTTGTCCATGGAGTGTGAGTGGCTAGGGGCTGCTGTGTAGTAGTAATGGTAATTACTGTTGTGACGTCATAAAATTTGGACACTGATTAATTCCAGGGGAAATGGTAGGTTTGGGCAGTATTGCTGTCACAGTGTATGTTGAGAGAAAAGATTGACCTAAAAATGAAAACTGGGTTTGTATTGCTTTATTTGCCAGGTGTATATAGTATCGTCCAAAGCACCTGCGGTTATTGTGCTCTCAGCGAGGCGGCATCCAACAATGAGAAAAGTTGAGGCCACCCTTATGATGTATAAGGGTCCAGTATGGTTGGGATGGTTGGCTGGCCACCCTTTCCACCACTTTCTTGAAGAAAATGTGCGCCACCCAATTTCTGCAATGCACACTCCCACTAAAGTCAATGCATTGGAGATGGTTGGTTGGCCTGTCCTCCCTCCCACTCGCTTGCTAAAAGTACGAAAAGTTTAAGCTAACTTTCCCACAGTGGTACTAGAGGATTTTTGCACTGCACTTCACGAAAAATTTTGCCAAGCACAAGAGTTATTGTCATGCAGCGTGATATTCTTTATACTCAGTCTCTTCTTTGCTTACCCAGTGACACAGTGAGCCGATGTGGTCTCCTGGTTGCTCTGAGTAATGCCATAGACTGCTGCAAGACCGAGGGAACGGTGGACGTGTTCCAGGCAGTCAAGGCTCTGCGGATCCAGAAACCGGGCAGTGTTGTCACTGTCCAGCAGTACCAGTCCATTTTCTCCATCATGCAGCAGTTCCTCAACTCATTTGACATTTACTCTAACTTCAAATAGTCGCTGTAATGAACCATGATCAGTGTCTGTAGTATATACATCTGTACACGTCATTTCGATGAGTGTATGTTTGTGTACACAGGTTGTTTCCCTTTTAGTGGCATTGTTTCACTTTTACATAATGATATTAGCTCCTTTCTCCTGAATTTGGATGTGGTTGTGTGCAAGACCTTACAGCGACTAATACATCTTCTGCTCCTCTATAATATTATACCACATGTCAGGTAACCAGGCGGGGTGATAGGGATAGGTACAGCAAGATAGCAGATGCATTCCACACTCCAATACTAGTCAAAATACTACACATAGTTGGTTTGTCTAGATCTCTTCTTCCATTCTTGTGCCTACAAAAATGTGAAATCGTTGACACCCTAGCCCTAGGCCTAATGTAGGGATGATGGCCAAATATGTGTGAGATAGGGATAGGTGCAGCAAGATAGCAGATGTTATGGTTCCACACTCCAACACTAGTGAAAGTAGCGCTCATAGTTGGTTTTTCCCTTCTTCCGCTCATGTGCCTACAAAAAATGCAAAATCGTTGACACCCTAACTTAGGGAGAATAGCGAAATTTGGGGGAGATAGGGATAGGTACAGCAAGATAGCAGATGCATTCCACACTCCAATACTAGTCAAAGTACTACGCATAGTTGGTTTGTCTCTTCTTTCACTCTTGTGCCTACAAAAAATTAGAAATCGTTGACACCCTTATTTATGGAGGATAGCGAAATATGGATAGGTGCAGCAAGATAGCAGATGTTACGGTTACACACACCAACACTAGTCAAAATAGTACGCATAGTTGGTTTTTCTCTTCTTCCGTTCTTGTGCCTACAAAAAATGCGAAATCGTTGACACCCTTAGTTAAGACGGACACACTCACGAAACCAAGTACTGCACCCTCGCTGCGCATGCGCGCCGACTGTGTGTAGATCCGCGCCGCGCGCGTATGGCACGCCTCCTTTTCCGTGCACACCTAGCTAGCTTATCCGCTGCGCCACATCCCCGCGCGGTCGCTTGATCGTTACGGTGAGCTTAGTTTCTCTTAGTTGCAGTTGTCTGTACTATATTTTCTATATTTTGGCGCATTTTGGAATTAACAGGTGAGACTCATTTTGTTGACCGTCTAACCTTTTTGACCCATTAATTTTATTGTCCATCCGCAGTATTATTGCCAAAGCCTACTGGAAAGACGGTTAATACCATAATAGAACTATTTTCTCTTTGCCATTGCTAAAATTTACCTACAATTTAATAGATGCCACATCAATCAAGTTTTTAGGTATATAGTGCATAACTTTCTGATCAAAGCTATCTGTGCCAGCACTTATGCTTTTACATCCCTCTGCTGTACATTTGCTGTGAGCTTCAATGCCAGATATTATTAACACTTAACCAGCTGCGGACACATAAATGTGTCCAGAGCCTCCGTAAGTCCATAAGAGTTTATATAGGGTTATAATACTAGGCACTAATACTTTATACATCTATTTAAGCAGATATATACCCATGGTGTCCGAAGGGTTAAACGACGTACTAATCTAAAATGTATGGGCATAATGCAGGACGACCGGTGTATACTACTACCGTACTTAGTGATACATCTTTCAAAGCCATGCAGTGGCCGAGCCGCCCACAAACAACATTTACATCCCCCTTCACTGGAGAGAAATTAAAATTTCCTGCAAAACAGTGCAGGGTACAATTTCCTGTACACGTTACTGCACCTGTCCTGGAAAAGTGCCGGAAAAGTGTAGGAAAGTGTACAGTAAAATATGCCCTGTCGTGGCGGAAAAGTGTATGAAAGTGTACAGTAAAATATGCCCTGTCGTGGCGGAAAAGTGTAGGAAAGTGTACAGTAAAATATGCCCTGTCGTGGCGGAAAAGTGTAGGAAAGTGTACAATAATTAAATACGCACTGTCCTTTATCAGGAAACATGATGTTCCTCGAGAAAAGTGTAGGAAAGGTGTTTGAATGGTAAACAGAACTGTAGCTACCAGGAAATTGAACGATAACCTTTTCAGTGTAGCTACTCTACTTGGTTTTTTGACATCATTTTTCTACTAGGCAATAATTGTCATAGGTAATTTTTGGGATAAACTTTACCTCTTTGCCCTTCATAATTTTCATGTCATGCCCAAATAAGTGTACAGTAGAGGAGTTTATTGCTATTTGGGTATAGTCTTTGACAATGTGTGCCGGTACAAAACCTAAACCTTAATAATTGGAGCATCAGAATCACATATATAGCTAAGCTGGAAAATGCATATAGCTGCCCTGTTCTTTAAATCTATGTCTCCCAGGCCTATCCTTCTCTTTTCTCTTATGTTGCCCTGTTCTGTCATCATCCTTTCTGTCATCATCCTTTCTCTAATTCCCTTCTCACTTAGCTGTGTCTTACCTCGTATAGCAAGCACAGCTGAAACTTGTGCAGAGAATTCCACTTAAAGCCTTGAATGGACTATAATATAGTGGGCATGCGCTGGTGTCAGGAAAGATACAATAAAACATAGCCAGTGCTCCATGGCCAGTGGGGAGACGATGGATCCAAAGAGCTGTGTTTTTCCTCTCTGCTTTACTGCTTGTATATTACCCCTGTATATACCTCTCATGGTTTATGCATAGAGGTCATCCAATGTGCACACTCTCATGCTAATTTCCTACTCCACATTCCAAGTTTATGCATATCCCAACTTTTCCACAAACTCACAGGGTCTTCCAATTATTCACATGCACCAAATGCTGACATAAAACACAATGATCAGGGTGAAAATGAGTGACTAGTGGCAAAATGTGTTTAGATCGGCATAAGTATAGCTATACCTACAAGTAGAGATAACTGACAAAAATGGGCTATGATGAGTTTACGAATTCTCTTCTACTCCCT